CTGGCCCCCCAAGAGTACAAGGAAGCTCTGCTCTGCAGCCACAACTTAGGTGGCTGCAACCCCACCCAGGAGCGCAGGACTCCTGCCTGCTCTGTGGAGCATGCAGCCCTGGCCATGCCTCCCTGCTGCAGCCGGTGTGATGGCAGCACCAGGCCATCTGCAGCAGCTGCTGCCATCACTAGGGTCACCAATTACCTTGGTTTTGCCCAGGACGGCAAGGTTCCCCAGGAGACAAGACTTTGTCTTAGTTTTAGTTTTAGTACTGAAACTAAAAAGTCAGCCAACCGGGATGAGCTGGTCACCCTGTCTAGACCTGAGATCAAACCTCAGAACTTCCCTTGACTCTCTTCTAGGTTGGATTCAGTTTTCTGGATCTTCCTCTTTCTTTGTTTATTCCCTAATTTCTCTGGGGAACATTATCAAGCAACTTTTAAAGAAAGGATGTGTTTGTATATGTATACCAAATCATCACGTTGTACACCTTAAATATGTACATTTCTATTTGTCAATGGTACTTCAATAAAGCTGGCGAAACATTTTTTTTTCTTTTTTTTTTCTGAGACGGAGTTTTGCTCTTGTTGCCCGAGGTGCAGCGCAATGGTGCAATCTCAGCTCACTGCAACCTCCACCTCCCAAGTTCAAGCGATTCTCCTGTCTCGGCCTCCTGAATAGCTGGGATTACAGGCACATGGCACCACGCCTGGCTAATTCTGTACTTTTTGTAGAGATGGGGTTTCATCATGTTGGTCAGGCTGGTCTCGAACTCCCAACCTCAGGTAATCCACCTGCCTTGGCCTCCCAAAGGGCTGGGATTAGAGGTGTGAGCCACAGCACCCGGCCGGGAAAAATCTTTAAGTGGTCATGTTGAAGATAATCTGTGTCCTTCCATGTTTGACACGTCTTTATTCTGCCATAAGGTTTTTGGTAGATAATGTAGCTAGATATACAATTCCAGGTTGAAAATAATTTCCCTTCTAACATGAAGCCGTACTGCATCCATTCCCTTCCAGCACCCCATGTTACTGGCAGGCAATGTGGCCCTAGTCTGCTCTCCTTTGTACAGAGCCCGCGTCTCTTTTTCCGAGGTTCCCCAGCTGTTTCCTTTAGCTTTTGCATGTTGAGATTGCGTGTTTTCCAGTCCTCCTACTGAACTTCTCATTTCAGCAAGCATATTTGCTCATCTCAAGAGCTCTTTGATGGTTCTCTGGGTATTTTCTAAGAAAACTGAGCTCTCTTATAGATGCTATTTATTCTGCAGTTCTCCCTGAATATATTCATTAGAGGGTTTAAATGCTATCTTCTGTTCAGGAATTATTTCTGTTTCCTCTGGGCCAGTGTTATTGTTCCTTTCCTGCTTTTTCTCCTTCACACGGATGGTCTTCTTCAAATGACTGGGGATCCTTCCGGGCTCATTCATGTGTAAGAGGGAAGGACGGGGTGGCAGGTTGGTGTTTCCTCTGCCGTGGAGTAAATCGGCCTCCCCATTCCCTCCTGTGTAGGCTGGGGTGGGGGCCTCTAGGTGGGATGGGCAGGGATTTTCTGTGGGGCATCAATATCTTCACAGGTGCACAGTCATATTTGGCAGCCTTGCAGTTCAGAGGCCTTAGCTTCCCCAGCAGTTGAACTCCTTTGGCAAGGTGCCTTCTAGGGTGTTGCTGAGTGACACGCACAGAGGCTGGGAGAGGGTGAGCCGCTACTTATGCAGGTGTTTCATAAACAGACCGTCAGTGATGCCCCGTCCTCAGGAAACACGTTTTGCTGTACAGACTCTCTTGCCCCTGAGCCCCAAGTCCTGGGGGCTGTGTCTGTGGCTGGACACTGCCTCTTCTCTCTGCAGTTCTGTCCTGAGCTGCGGCACCCTCCCCACCTGTGTAGCAGGCAACACCTTCCGTGCACTGTCTCCCAGGAATCGGTGACTCCCCCACCCCTGTCTCAGTGTTGTGGGTTTATTCCTTTTAGTCTCTTACATTTGCATTTTGGGGCCAGGGTGCAGAGGGGAGCTTGGAAGATACTCATATGCACAACCTTCAAAATGGAAGCTTCGCCGGGCACAGCAGTTCACACCTATAATCCCAGCACTTTGGGAGACCGAGGCCGGTGGATCATGAGGTCAAGAGATTGAGACCATCCTGGCCAACATGGTGAAACCCCGACTCTACTAAAAATACAAAAATTAGCTAGGTGTGGTGGCACGCACCTGTAATCCCAGCTACTCGGAGGCTGAGGCAGGAGAATCACTTGGACCCGGGAGGCAGAGGTTGCAGTGAGCCAAGATTGCGCCACTGCACCCCACGCCAGGTGACAGAGCTAGACTCCGTCTGGGAAAAAAAAAAAAAAAAGGAAGCTTCATCTCTAGATTGAATTGGGGCTTGCCATGAAATAGAGGCTCCCATAACACAAATAAAATTGGACATTCATGGATGCTTGTAACACGTGAGGCTCTGTAGTTCACATGCTTTACCTCATTTACTTCTCGTAGTTTTTATCCCCATTTTACAACTTAAAACCTCAGGTAAAAAGTGGAGGCAGGATTCTAACCCCCACCCACTCAAAGTGAAATTAGCCAAGTACCTGCCAAGCAGCTGGGGAAATGTTTCCATGGGGTGGCTTCCAGAATTTCCACCCACATTTATGTTACAGGAAGATTGCACACACCAGGTTTCCTACAGGAGGCTCCCCCAAGAGAGGCAGCCTTGGGAGCCCTCTGACCCAGCCTGGGCAGGCAGGGGGCTGCATCCTGCCCCTTCCTCTCTTCCTTGTCATTAATGGACCTCAGCTAGAGCCTGGCCTTGGGGCCACCTCCTGCTCTGACAGCTACAGGGAGGAGGAGGGAGATGAGACTTCCTTCAAGCTAAGCCTAAGGCAGAGCTGTTCCAGGCATTCCTCCCCCTGGGCTGCAGGTAGCAGGAATGAATACAGGGTGGGTCACAGGAGAATTAAAACATTCCAGGCAGAAGTTTTGTCAGAGGCATTGGAACAAGAGCAATTCCATCTTGAATAGGGGCTTGGTAAAAACAGGCTGAGACCTACTGGATATAGTCACAGGATGAAACAGGAGGTCGGCACAAGATACAGGTCATAAAGACCTTGCTCATAAAACAGGTCACAGTAAAGAAGCCAGCCAAAACCCACCAAAGCCACGATGGCAACAAGAGTGACCTCTGGCCATCCTCACTGCTACGCTCCCACCAGCACCATGACAGTTTACAAACACATGGCAACATCGGAAGTCACCCTGTATGGCCTAAAAAGGGGAGGCATGAATAATCCACCCCTTGTTTAACATATATAATCAAGAAATAACCATAAAAATGGGCGGGGCTGCTCTGCCTCCAGAGTAACCATTCTATTATTCCTTTACTTTCACAATAAACTTGCTTTCACTTTACAGACTCACCCTGAATTCTTTCTTGCCTGAGAACCTTCTCTTGGAGTCTAGGTTGGGACCCTTTGCTATAACAGTTTCACATGACTAAAGGTTATAGGCTGATAAAACCCTGAAAACCAGGGTGTGGACCAAGCTGCCTGAGACCAACTGGACCCAACAGAGTGCTGGATTTGACCCAGGCTCCACCTAGGACCTTATTATACACTCATTAACATCCTAAATCACACACCCGCCAGCGACAGGACAGTTCCAAGACCACCCATATTTGGTGTAAAAATTAGTGGCACCACAATTCTGAGGAATGCCCACCTTTTTCCAGAAATTGTCATGAATATCCCACCCGTTGGTTAAATAAACCCATAAAGATGAAACCGCAAACCCCACTGTGCGATCCTCTCTTGAGAACGCTGAATTCCCCTTTCTTGAATGTGTACTTTTCACTTTGCAATATATCTCCATGCTTTCAGTATTTCCTGACTCATCCTTGAATTCCTTCTCAAGATGCTGTCAAGACCTGGGTCGAGGCATTCGGGGACCTCCCCCAGCCCATCAATATCATGAAGCGTATTTGAAGTGACAGCCACTTCGTACTTAAGGCCTACCATGGTCAAATATATCAGCTCCAATTCTCCATAACCCTTAAAGAGAGGGACTTTCATCCCCATTCTTCTGATAAGAAAACTGAGGCTCAGTGGTTAAGGAACTTGCCCAAACCACCCAGCTGGTCAGCAGCAGAGCCAGACTTTAACTGGGTCTGAAACATGCTCATGGCAGCGTGCCCTAGAGACAGCGATAAAATTTCCATTTCCGCTACAGCCTGGCATGGCCCTAAGGGACAGCCAGGCCCCAAAGGCTGGGCTCTGGCTCAAGAGGCCCCTAGCCAAGGCACTCCTAACGCCACTGGGTTGCCACCCTTGGGAATTTTCAAGGGTAACCTTGGGCACTACCCCCTTCAGACCCCCTGTCTGGGAAAAACAGCCACCCGATTGTTGGTCAAGACTCTGGATTAATCCTTCACCAGCCTGGCCCGAGCTGGCCACTTGACCCAGAGCTGTACTGCAGCCAGGGATGCGTCCTTGTGGCCAGCAGGGCTTCCTTCAGCATTACCAATTGACAACTGGCTCACAGAGCTGACAGCCTGGTCGATGCAGCTGCAGAGAATGTGGGGGATGGTGGTAAAAAAAAAAAAAAAAACTTGGGGAGTCCAGAGAAGGGGGATGAGAATGACAGGAAAGGAACAGGATGTAAGGTCCAACTTTTAAGGGTAATTGCCACAAAGATTGGAGATTGTAGAGAAAACATTTGGAGAAGCATCAAACCCAATGTCTCCCCTTTCCCAGAAGAAGTCAGCATCAGAGATCAAGAAGGTAGGGAGGGGGTCTTGGTGCAGTGGCGGGGGGTGGGGGGGGCAGACACCAGGAGGGCCTGGAAGGGGGCAGTAGGTCCTGGGTGGGGGGGCGGGGGCTGCCCAGAGCCATTAGGTGGAGTGGCTGGAACCCTAGAGGAGCTCCCGCTGCCTGCTAGGCTCTCAGCAGGCTCAGCTCTCGCAATTGGCCTTAAGACTCCGGATGGAGATGCACAGTCTCCCCCTTACCGATGAGTCTCACTCCACTTTATGAGCCTTGGGGCAAGAAATTTCTATTTTCACCACCAAGGGTTGGTGTTGAGCTTCAGATCCTGCCCTCTGGGGACCCCTCTCCTCCTTCCCGACTTGGGAGCAGGAGAAGGCAAGCAAGGCTGGGGCGGGTGCGCAGCCGAGGGTCCCCAGGCCGAGCTCCTCATGTATAAAACAGGGGGGCTTTTCCTCCGCAGCTCATTAGAACCTCTGGGCGGAAAGACTGGCCCCGTCATTTCCCTTGCAAATGAAGCTCCCGCTCCGCCGCCTTTTCCACTTTAATACCTCATCAACCCAGCAGGCGACCCGGAGCCCGCTGCTTGACTCCGCCCGTCGCCGGGCAGCTGTTTGGCACATTTCAATTAGCGCGACGCGTCCCTGGTAAACAGCCGAGGCCGGCTGCGGGCACCTGCAGACCCTGACCCCCGACGCCGCCCCGAGACCCTGAAGACGCGGCTGCGACCCCACCGGTAATTAGGAGGTTTTCAAGGCCGGTGTCCCCCAAGCCCAGACCAGCTGGAGAGCTCAGCCCCGCGGTCCCGCCGCGGTCTCCACCGCCAACCTCTCAGAAGTCAGGGAATCCGCTGTCAGGGTGTAAGTGGGGCTGGGGGCCTCGGGAGAGGAAGGGTGGTGTTTGGGGAGTCCTGGCCAGTTCTTAAGGCGTCTAGATGGCTACGGGCCACGCCTGCCGGCAGAGCTCAGCTCCAGATAAACCCAGAGAAGGAAAGCCGCTCACCCTCTGGGTGCCTCAAAGTCTTTCTATCTGTAACAAGCTAATGAAATTATGTACCTGGTAGGGAATTAGGAGCAAATTAGACGATCTGGGTATAGCCACAGTATCTGGAAATGAGAAAGTGCTAATTAGCGGCCAGGTGCGATGGCTCACGCCTGTAATTCCAGAACGTCGGGAGTCCGAGGTGGGCAGATCACCTTAGGTCAGGAGTTCAAGACCAGCCTGACCAACATGGCGAAACCCCGTCTCTGCTAAAAATACAAAATGAGCCTGACCTGGTGATGCTTACCTGTAGTCCCAACTATTCGGGAGGCTGAGGCAGGAGAATCACTTGAACCCGGGAGGCAGAGGTTGCGGTGAGCTGAGATCGCGCCATTGCACTCCAGCTTGGGCGACAAGAGCGAAATTCTCTCTCAAAAAACAAAAACAGAAAGAAAGTGCTCAACAGATGCTAGCCACGATTTCTGTTAATATTCTATCACACTGCTTTGCCCTGTGTAGACATCAAACCCACCACACTGTGTACAGTGATCCTGCTGTAGAAACAGCCACTTACTAACTGTGAGAGTGTGGATTGATTACTTAACCTCTCTGTGCTGCAGTTCTTGACTGTAAATAATGTATCTATTTTGTCTGGTGGGGTGACTCATGCCTGTAATCCCAGCACTTTGGGAGGCAAAGGCAGGAGGGTCACTTGAGGCCAGGAGTTTGAGAGCAGCCTGGGCAATATAGCAAGATCCCGACTCTACAAAAAGTAAAAAAAAAAAAAAATTAGCTGGGCCTAGTAGTGCACACCTGTAGTCCCAGCTGCTCAGGAGGCTGAAATGGTGGTGGTGGGGGTGGTCACTTGAGCTCCTAAACCTCCTTGTTGAGGCTGCAGTGAGCTGTGATTGGGCTACTGTACTCCAGCCAGGGCAACAGAGTGAGATCCTGTCTTTAAAAATAAATAGGCCGGGTGTGGTAGCTCACGCCTATAATCCCAGCACTTTGGGTGGCCGAGGCGGGTGGATCACGAGGTCAAGAGATCGAGACCATCCTGGTCAACAAGGTGAAACCCTGTCTCTACTAAAAATACAAAAATTAGCTGGGCATGGTGGTGCGTGTCTGTAGTCCCAGCTACTCTGGAGGCTGAAGTAGGAGAATTGCTTGAACCCAGAAGGCAGAGGTTGTGGTGAGCCGAGATAGTGCCATTGCACTCCAGTCTGGGTAACAACAGTGAAACTCCGTCTCGAAAATAAATACATACATACATACATAAAGTACCCATTTTGTGGGGTTACTTGGGGGACTGGCAGATAACAGAGCTCAAGTGCTCCTCAGGGACTTTGAACCAGAGCGCTGCATCCAAATCCTCACCCCACCCCACCTAGCTGTGTGACCTTGGGCAAACAACTTAATGTCTCTGTTCTTCCTCTTAGCTTGAGGGTGTATAGTAGTTCTTACCATAGAGTATAAGGCATTGCTAGAGAATAACTTCTATAAAGGAATATCATGGCTCGATCAAACATAACAAACAAATGTCCATGCTTCTATTTAACTCATTAATTCATGAGGGAGCCTGCAAGATGCTACAACCAAGTTCAAAAAAGAATTCAAGGAACATATATAAGTAGGCAGTCAGGAATGAGGAAATGGATTGACAGATACAACACTGGCCACGAGGCAGGAATCAATTGCATCCCATCACAGCCTCCTCCTTGGCACTGAGCTTGGGTTCGGGGACTCCTTGCCAGGGCTGCTGAGGCCAGAGCTCCTGGGGTCATCATGGCCTCTGCAGCCATCCCTTTCGAGGACCTGTCACCTTGTAGGGAGCCTCCTAGGACTGGGACACAGGTTCCCCCACCTTCCGAATCATCTGCCCTCAAAGCTCCAATCCTCTTCCTTTCTGAGGAAGTGACATTTAGTGACACTGTCTCCCATTCTCCAAGCCTCAGAGCTGTCCCACGCTCAGACTTTTATCTTCTGGGCTCAAAGCCTCCACCCTCCTAGCCCTTAGGGGTGGACCAAAAAGAGAGAGAAAGAGAAAGTGCTCTGAATTCACATTCTTTTATGGTGAGGACAAATGACACGTAACCATGCAGGGACATTATCCTGTCCCAAATGGCCACCACCATTGTAAAATGTTGCTTTGCCTCTGTTCAGAGGGGGGCTTCTTAGTTCACCCAGGAGGGAGAGACCCTCGGAATGCTGCCAGTCATCTTCTCAGGCAAGCCTTTCCTGTCCTCACCTCCCACCTCTTCCCAGCAGCCCGGCTCCACATGGCCAGAACTCCCGGGCTTAGCTCAGGTCCTCCAGGTGTGGTCTGTCCCCCTGCAATGGCCCAGGAGCTCCCTGAGGGCAGGGCTGGGTCTTCATCTCTCCACTGTCTGGCCTCATCCTAGCAGGGATGGAATTCAACACATGCCCCAGCCCCAGTACCCCAAATGAATGAGCAAACACCGAGTCTTGGTTCCTGCAGCAGGCTCGTGCCTTCGCCCGGGGGGAAAGCTCCCAGATGAGCAGGGCTGGGCAGAGGGGCAGCACCCTTGGCCTCTGGCTCATCCCACTCCACTCCACTCCACGCCACACCACTCCATGCCACTCTCCTCTCCTGGGTCCACCCCACCCCTGCTGATGAGAGAGACTCCTTGGAGATTCCTCTTGAATTTTCATTAATTCCTATTGAATAATTAAAACCAGGAAATTAATACTTTCATCCTAAATCTGAATTGCAGTGTGTGTTTTTCATAATTATAATTCCACTGGAGCATTAAACATTCAAGTGAGCCATCCCTCTCAAGGGGCAGAGGGGACGAAGGGCTATGTCCTGGGGGCTTAAATCCAGGGTTTGGCTCAGGATACGTACGCAGTAATTACTTTTTAATGGATGGATGGATACATGGGTGGGTGGAAACAAAGACCTTTTTAGGACCCAGAAACTGCTACTTCGAAGCATGGTGATTTGATATGAGGTGGCCTCAAGGTCTCTCTGGCCGCCCCTCAGTCCTCTGTCTCTCTCAGAGCATAGAATGAAGCTATTCTCTGAAGATCCCTTATCAACCCAGAAACCAGACCTGTCAGAGAAGAATGCAATTGCCTTCCCCGATTATTATTATTATTACTATTGAGACAGAGTCTCACTCTGTCGCCCAAGCTGGACTGCAGTGGCTCAATCTTGGCTCACTGCAACCTCCTCCTCCTGGGTTCAAGCAATTCTCCTGCCTCAGCCTCCCAAGTAGCTGGGATTGCCCGCTGCCGTGCCTGGCTAATTTTTGTATTTTTAGTAGAGATGGGGTTTCACCATATTGGCCAGGCTGGTCTTGAACTCCTGACCTCGTGATCCAGCTGCCTCAGCCACTCAAAGTGCTGAGATTATAGGCATGAGCCACTTCACCCAGACTCTTTTTCTTTCTTTCTTTCTTTTTTTTATTTTTTGAGACACAATCTCACTCTGTTGCCTATAGGCTGGAGTGCAGTAGCATGATCTCAGCTCACTGCAACCTCTGCCTCCCAGGTTCTAGCAATTCTCCTGCCTCAGCTTCCCGAGTAGCTGGGATTACAAGCACATGCCACCACACCCAGCTTTTTTTGTGTGTATTTTTAGTAGAGATGGGGTTTCACCGTGTTGGTCGGGCTGGTCTCAAACACCTAACCTCAAATGATCTGCCTGCCTTGGCCTCCCAAAGTGCTGGGATTACAGGGGTGTGCCACCACACCTAGCTAATTTTATTTTTTTTTAAAGTAGAGATGGGATTTCACCATGTCGCCAGGCTGGTCTCAATCTCCTGACCTCAAGCAATCTGCCCGCCTTGGCCTCCCAAGTGCTGGGATTACAGGTGTGAGCCACCATGCCTGGCCTTTGCTTTTTCTGTATTCCTACCCAGTGTCAGGCCACCTCACGTCCTGGTATTGTGTGCCCTGCATCCAGTCTTGCCCGAAAGGTGGGATTCCTCAAACATGGCATCTGTTCCGGGCCTGAAACAGGTATGGTCTGCAGCCTACAGCCTGGCCTCTTGGGACGGCCAGGAGGTTGCTCTCATAGGTGTGGATACCCTTCCAATCCTGATTACTGCCTCTCTTGCTCCTGGCAGGAATTGGGGTTCCACCGTGTCACCCTCATGGAGCTTTCATTTTCCTTATTTGGGATACAAAGGGATAAGTGTCCCCTGATTTTAGAGAAAGTTCAAGAGCCAGGGAGCAGGATTTCCCAGCAAGGGACGTGGAGCCAGGCACCTGCTGATGGCAGTCTGCCTCTGGGAGGGGTCCACACACTTTTCCCCCAGAAGGAGGGAAGGACTCAATCATTATCCAGAGTCAACAGTGAGTTGGAGGCAACAGTGGTCCCTAAGAGAGTCTCCACAGGAAGAGGGTAAAGCTGACTCAGCCAGGGCAGCAGGGAGAGAACCTGGTGGGAGGAAGATGGGAAGTGAGTGGGATACGGCCTCTAAGGGGAAACTGCCTCCCTGGCCCACCCTGGGAAGAGGTGGGAGATGCGGAGGGAGGGCTCTCCAGACTCCACCTGCTCTTGTGTAAGTCGGGATGCCCAGGCTTTACAGGACAGTGCTCCCACTGGACCAATCAGAAGCCCCCAGCAGCCTCGCCCCTCACCACCAGCCATCTACATGCCTCTCCACGGTGGGGCCCTCCCCATAAACACTGAGCTCTTTGAGGATAAGGATGGATATGTTTACCACTGTCCCTCGAGGGTAGGGTCGAGTCCAGGGCCACCCACAGAGCTGCAGTTCAGCAACTCTTAGAGAGAACAGCTCTGATCCCCAGTCTCCCCTTCCTGCTCTGCTCCACCCACTCATTCCTCCTTCCTCCATCTTGCACCTGCCTCACGGCCTTTGCGCACACTGCTCCCTCTGCCTGGATGCTCGTCCCTTTAGTGCACTCCCTCATTTCCTGCCCAAATATCATCTCTGTGAGATCTCCCTGGAAACCCAGAAATACCTTCTCACCTTCCACACTCCCTCGCCCTCTTGCTGTAATTTTCTCTACAGCATGTATTAAATATTTGCTTGTCTGTCTGCTGCCAACTGCACTGTAAGCTCCCTGAGAGCAGGTGCTTTCTTTCATGCACAGCTGTATCCCCTGAATGGTGCTTGCACGCAGCAGGTTCTCAATAAACACTTGATGAATGAATAAATGAATGGATGGATCACCATCCCTGGCCAGGGAAGGAGCATAGGGCATTGGGCCTAACAGGGGAACCTGTTTCCTTTAGACTCAGCTGGCAAGCAGGGGCCAAGTGGCCTGAGTTTGGCACCAGGGGTTTCATCCTTTCCCTCTGTAGCAAATGGTCACCTGCTTCCAGGTCCTCCTGTCCCCTCCCTGCTGGTGGCCATGGCAGCACCAGCCCTCCCAAATGGAAGGCCCACTCTGATCTTGGGGACCGAACTCCTCCGGGTCCTCCCCAGGCTTTCCGGCTGTACCCTCACCCTCAGGAAGAACCTCCCCTCCTCCTCCCATCTCAGGCCCCATTTGCAAAGTTCGAATCAGAGAGAGGCCCAGACTGCAATGGGCAACCGAGCCAGTTTTCCGTTTCAAATCAAAGTTTCAAAGATGCCACTTTTAATTATGCTTGAGTGCAATGTGCCCTAAGGCCTTTTGTGGTAAATGGCTTTCAATAAACCCAGTTTATTCATTAATTATTATTAATTATTTTATTAAGCAGTGGCAAGGGGAGGCAGGGCCCAGCTCAGACAGCAAGTCGCACGTTGACTCTGATGAGCTGCCTGGGCTGGGCTGGGGCACAGGAGCATTCTGGACAGAGGAGGGGGCAAAGCAGGGGGAGGGTCTGGAAGGAGCCAAGGGCACCAGACAAAAATAACTCCTTCCACCAGGTGGCACTTCACCTTCGAGAAGTTCCTTCACTGGATAATGAAGACTTTTGTCTTCAGCGAAGTAGGGAAGAGAAGAGAATTACCATTACCACCAGCCAAGGCACAAAACACTTTCAGTCAGTGGTGAACTGGTGACTGGATCTCCAGAAAAAAAAAAAAATCATCTAACATTTCTCTCTTTTTTTTTTTTTGAGACAGGGTCTCGCTCTGTCACTCAGGCTGGAGTGCAGTGGCGTGATCATGGCTCATTGCAACCTCCACCTCAGCCCCCCAAGTACCTGGGACTACAGGTGCACGCCACCATACCTGCCTAATTTTTGTATTTTTATGTAGAGGGGATGTAGAGATGGGGTTTCTCTATGTTGCCCAAGCTGACCTTGAACTTCTGAACTCAACTGATCCTCCCACCTTGGTCTCCCAAAGTGCTGGGATTACAGATATGAGCCACTGCACCTGGCCTACCATTTCATTTTTTACGGTTCTGTAATATTCCACTGTTGGGGCATACAGGTCCCTTAACTTATCAGTCCCTTACTACTGAGCATTATTGGGGCCATTTCCATTATTCTAAACAAGTGTGATGAACAGCCTTCTGCACAGCTATCAACCCATATCCTCATTCACTTACCTAGGTGACATTTCCAAAGGTGAAATCACCTGCTCAAAGGACATGTGTTTTTAAGGCTTTGATGCACATTACTTAATTAACAACATCAGGAAGAATGGTGATAATTTATACCCCAAGGCCAGCGCTTTGGGAGGCCAAGGTGGGTGGATCACTTGAGGTCAGGAGTTGGAGACCAGCCTGGCCAACACGGTGAAACCCCATCTCTATTAAAAATACAAAAATTAGCGAGTATGGTGGTGGGTGCCTGTAATTCCAACTACTAGGGAGGCTGAGGCAGGAGAATCTCTTGAACCCAGAAGGCAGAGGCTACAGTGAGCCAAGATTGCACCACTGTACTACAGCCTGGGCAACAGAGCAAGACTTAGTCTTAAAAAAAAAAAATTATACTCCAAGGATAGATATTTATAGGGGATCACACTGATTTTTATAATCAAAGTCTAGAACAAAGCAAAATGCAAATAAATCAAAAGTCCTGAATTTTAGTCCTTGCCAATTTCCATGGTGTAATCCTCCCACCATGCCCAGTTTCAACACTAACAATTTAACAACTGGCCTGCAGAATTCCTAAAAATCTAACAACCATCTCTGGGAGCTCATGGGGGCTGAGCCCAGCACCTCAGTGTGTGTGATGGGATCTACTCCTTCTCTGAAAGGAGGTCATGGTGGTAATTTTATCTGTCACCCTGACTGGGCCACGGGGTGCTCAGGTATTGGTCAAACATTCTGGGTGTTTCTGAGAGTATTTCTGGGTGAGATTAACATTTGAAGGCCTGGTGCGGTGGCTCATGGCTGCAATCCCAGCACTTTGTGGGGGCCGAGGCGGCCAGAAGGCTTTGAGCTCAGGAGTTTGAGACCAGCCTGGGCAACACGATGAAACCCCATCTCTACTAAAAATACAAAAATTAGGCAGACATGGAGGTGCATACCTGTAGTCCAATCTACCTGGGAGGCTGAGGTGGGAGGATCACCTGAGCCTGGGAAGTTGAGGCTGCAGTAAGCTGTGCTCAGACCGGTGCCCTCCAGCCTGGGTGACAGATTACCTGATCAAAGGACATGTGTTTTTAAGGCTTTGATGCACAAAGAGTGAGGCAGGAGAGTCAGGGTCAAAGGGATGAGACACAGGAAGGACTCGATGGGCTATAAAGATGGCTCTAAAGATGCAGGAAGGGGCCAAGAACCAGGGAGTACAGGCAGCCTCTAGGAAACAGAAGAGCAAGAAAATGTATTCTCCCCTACAGCCTCCGGGAGGGACTCAGGCAGCCCTGCTGACACACTGATTTTAGCCCAGTGAGGGCCGTTCCGGACTCTGCTGTTCAGGACTGTAAGATATATTGTTTAATTTTAGCCACTAAATTTATGGCCGCTTGTTTCCAAAACAGTGGTATTGTCCCCATTTAACCAGGCAATGGAACAAAATTTCAGAGCTGTAAACTCTGAGTCATAGCTAGTGATGGGGACTCAAAACAGGGTTTGACCCCGGGCTGTCCGACTCCATTAGCCATGTTCTTTGTCCTTCCCCAGGAGAGAAGCCACTCTACATGAAAGCACCTCTGGGAGGGTTAACAACGTCATTCTATTTCAGGCACAGGAACTGCGGAGCCTTTCTCTATGAAACACCAGAAAACCAAAGAAACCGCTCTGTCACCCCAGCACTTTGGGAAGCCAAGGCAGTGGATCACTTGAGGTCAGGAGTTCAAGACCAGCCTGGCCAACATGGTGAAACCCTGTCTCTACTAAAAATACAAAAAAATAGCTAGGAATGGTGGTGCATGCCTGTAACCCCAGCTATTTGAGAGGCTGAGGCAGGAGAATGGCTTGAACTCGGGAGGTGGAGATTGCAGTGAGTCAGGATTGCATCACTGCACTCCAGCCTGGTGACAGAGAGACTCAGTAGGAAAGGAGAGGAGAGGGGAGAGGGGAGAAGGGGAGAAGAAGGGGGGAGGGAGAGAGGGAGGAAAAGGGGGAGGAGGGGGAGGGGAAGGGAAGGGACCACCACAAAAACCATATCCAGCTGAAGGCGGGGCTGAGTTTGCAGGAAGGAGGGGAAGCCCAAGGAACCCAGTGCAGCAGGACGCTGGAAACTGGCTGGTGGCCACGGAAGTGTGGCCCACGCAGGCTGAGGCTCCCTGACTCTGGGGTCTGGGGCTTGGACTTTGACTCTTCCATGGAAACGAGGTGTGGCCTCGGGGATGGACATGCAGAATCGAGATCCCTGCATAAAGCCAGGCCCCTCAGGACTTTGGCCTCTGTGGAGGGACAGAGCAAAATGCCCATCCCCAGCATGGGGAGATGGGGAGGGTGGTCTGTCACTGTGGAAGAAGGGAGATCAGAGATATTAGCAGAGTGGTCTCCAGAACTGATGAAAACCAGGCACCATCAGATTCAGAAGCCCCACTGAGTCCCCAGCAGACACTGGCCCTGGACATGGGGGCTTAGGACACAGTCACCAGACAGGAGACTGTACCCTCCGGGCCTGGTGCCTCACCCAGCACTGCTGCAGGGGGAATGTTTGCTGAATGGATGGTGATGGGGTGAGGGAAAAGAGATGGGAAAGTGAGGGTGTCTAAATCCAGCTTGAGACAAGACCGAGGAATTCCCAATCTCCACCCACCTTCCACCTCTACCAGGGCCACAGGACAGGGTGGACACCGGCATGGGGCTGGGGGAGCCACGGGGTCCAGGGGTATCTCCTGTGGGCCCAAGGAGCCCTCCCACAGCTAAGCCCCTAGCCTGAAACTCTCCCAGCACTCTGAAAGTCCAATCCCACCCAGCCCTGGGCTGCTCCACAGGGCCCCAGACTGGAGAAGACCCCCCAAAAGGGTCTCTAAAGAAGAGGCGGCTGGTGGTCAGGCCTGGGCAGCCAGGGCCAGCTGTGGGAGCTGAGAGTTGATGGGGAGAACGTGCTCTGTTGGCTTCATGCCCCAACATCAAGGGGAACCAGCTGCACCGTTCCCCTGAATCACAGTCTCTTGAGCCCAATATTCAAATCTATGCAGACGTTGGAGCCTGGACATTTTTAGCAGAAACTCAGAGGGAGATGATCTCAGGCTGACTCGGAGCGGGAGGGGCTGGTCCCAGAGGAGCACAGAACCCACCTGAAAAGTCGGGGTTGGGGACCACCCCCTTACCCTGCTGTAATTGCCTGGATTCTGCACCCCAGGTGCCCTGAAGGTCTGCGTTGTGGGTGTTTATTTGGGGCAAGGGGACTGATCTTTTTTCTTTGAGGCTTTTCTTTTTTTAGCAAACACTTTACTTTTCTGTGAAATGATAACTCGGGCTGCACGCTGGAGCCAGCGACCTAGCCGGGGAGCTGTTTGACTCCTGACTCAGGATGCATGGCCCAGCCTCTGCTATTATCTTGAAAGGTGGCAGAAGTCTGACCCCTTCTGAATGCGTTTCCTGTGGCTGTTAGAAAGTTACCACAAGCTGCAGCTTAAACCCACAGAAGCTATTTTCTCACAGTTCTGGGGGCCGGAAGTCCGACATCAGGGTGCCAGTGGGGCGTGCTCCCTCTGAAGGCGCTGGAGAAGGGCCCTTCTTTGCCCTCCCAGCTTCTGGCGGTCACCAGCAGTCCTTAGTGTGTGTTGGGCAGCTGCATGGCTCTGACCTCTGCCTCTGTCTTCACAGGGATTTCCTCCCTGTGTGTCTGTGTCTCTGGTCCTCTCCTCATAAGGACACCTGTCATTGGACTTAGGGCCCATGCTGACCCAGTGTGACCCCTTCTCAAATTGATGAGCATCTGCAAACACCCTGTTTCCAGGTGAAGTCCTACTCACAGGCACCAGGGGTGCCTTCAGTACATCTTTGGGGGTAAACATAACCCACAGCATCTTCTTTTTCTTTTTTTTTTTTTTTTTTTGAGACAGAGTCTCGCACTGTCACCCAGTCTGGAGTGCCGTGGCGTGATCTCAGCTCATTACAACCTCCACCTCCTGGGTTCAAGGGATTCTCCTGCCTCAGCCTTCAGAGTAGCTGGAATTACAGGCACACACCACCACACCTGGCTAATTTTTTGTATTTTTAGTAGAGACAGGGTTTCTCCATGTTGGCCAGGCTGGTCTCAAACTCCCAGCCTCAGGTGATCTGTCTGCCTCGGCCTCCCAAAGTGCTGGGATTACAGGTGTGAGCCACCTCGCCCAGCCTACCCACAGCATCTTCTATGTTATTCTACCCAAGGACAGCCACTCCCAGAAGCTGCAGTGAGGAGAAGGCCTCCCACGTTTGGGGTTTCCAATCTTGGGTGGCAGCAGGCTGGGAGCCGAGGCCCACTTGAGTCTTACTGTGCCTTCCTGCCAGGAGGGCGGCAGTTCCTGGCCCCTGGAGACAGCGAGGCTCCTGAGAGCAGCTGAGTGTCCCAAAGTCATCAACACCCACCTCTTCTCAGGGGCAGCAACTGGAGGCTCACCTACCTTGCCCCTTTACTCCTCAAAACACCTGTGACCCAGGACAATGCCCCTTATTTTACAGAGGAGGAAGCGGAAGTGCAAACTAAGAGGAAGTCTCACAGCGGCAGGTGGGGTGCTGGGGGCCGGCTCGGCCAGGAACTCGGTGCTCTTGCAAGAACCCTGACAGGGCTTTGATCCTGTCTTCCCGTCCAAGCCCGGCTTGTCGGGATGGGGCGGCGGGGACTGCGCCTGCACAGCCACGGAGGAGCAGGGCAGCCTCTCCCAGCACAGTCCTGAAAGGAGGACTCCCCATTTGAAGGGAATATGTCGATTCCCTTTTAGAGAGCACTAGAGAGGACATGGTGGAACCAGTGTGGCAGAAAGGGGTGAGTAAACCTCTTTTATGAGACCCCAAATTGCCCCAGGCTCTTTCCCCCTGGAGATCAGATCTTCCCCAGGGGAGGGTGTGAGAAGGTGGAAAGTGGGGTTAGGGAACACATGGGGTTTCTGGGATCCCCCTTTTTTTTAGATGGAGTTTCGCCCTTGTTGCCCAGGCTGAAGTACAACGGTAAGATCTCGGCTCACGACAACCTCCGCCTCCTGGATTTAAGTGATTCTCCTGCCTTAGCCTCCCCAGTAGCTGGGATTACAGGCATGTGCCACCACACTCAGCTAATTTTTGTATTTTTAGTAAAGATGGGGTTTCTCCATGTTGGTCAGACTGGTCTCAAACTCCTGACCTCAAGTGATCTGCCTACCTTGGCCTCCCAAAGTGCTGGGATTACAGGTGTGAGCCATTTTACCTGGCCCTGCCTAGATATTTTGGTTTTGGGTTTAATTGGCTCCTCAGCTGAGTCCACGGGCTGAGGAGCTTCATCACACCTGTTTCCTCACCTGTGAGTGGGGAGGGGTGCTCATCTGGCAGGGCAGTGGCAAGGCCAGCCGTGCCTGCCCTTCCATCTACGGTTCAGGGCTGGACCAGGGCTGAAGGAGGCATGGCCAGCTTTGGAGGAAGGCCTGGGAGTTGCAGCTCTGCCTGGCACTGACATCTGGTTGCATCTGGGCTGCAAATTCTTTCTAATCCTCAACTTCTCTCACCCTGCTGCCAGCCAGCCTGCCCCTCTAGCTTCATTTAAAAGTTCAGGCCCGGCGCAGTGGCTCATGCCTATAATCCCAGCACTTTAGGAGGCTGAGGTGGGTGAATCACAAGATCTGGAGTTCAAGACCAGCCTGACCAATATGGTGAAACCCCATCTCTACTAAAAATACAAAACGTAGCCAGGCGTGGTGGTGTGCCCCTGTAATCCCAACTACTCAGGAGGCTGAGGCAGGAGAATCACTTGAATCCAGGAGGCGCAGGTTGTAGTGCACTGAGATTGCACTACTGTACTCCAGCCTGGGTGACAGAGCGAGACTCCAACTCAAAAAAAAAAAAAAGTTCAGACTGGATTCAAAAGTAGGCTGATACATAAAGACCTATTAAAACTCAACAGTAAGAAAACAACTCAATTAAAAAATGGGCAAAAGACCTGAACAGACACTTCACCAAAGACAATATACAGATGGCAAATAAATATATATGTCACATCATATGTCATGAGGGAAATGCAAATTAAAACAGCAATGATATACCGCTGCACATCTATCAGAATGGCCCAAATCCAAAACACCACCAGCTGCAAGTGCTGGTGAGACCGCAGAGCAGCAGGGATTCTCATTCAGGGCTGGTAATTCAAAATGCTACAGCCAACAGCTTGGCAGCTTCTTACAAAGCTAAATATACTTTTACCATATGATCCAGCAATCATACTCCTTGGCATTTACCTGAATCAGCTGGAAACTGTGTCCAGGAACTTCAGGGTAGCGGAACATGTGGAGGTTCCTGGAAGGTGGTCATCCAGGGAGGGCACAGAAGTTCTGTGTCCCCTCCTCCGTACCTCGCCCTGTGCATTTCTTCATCTGTATCCTTAGCAAAGACCTTTACAATAAATGGGTAAACCTTGGTATGCCCACGTGACTAAGCACTGGCCAATGGAGCATGATCAGAAGCGGTACAAGATGACTCTCTCTCTCCTTTTTCTCTTTCATTGGATGGAACGAGGCCTTAGAACGGAGCCATCTTGGGCCAGATGAGGGCACCCATCCTGAAATGCTGGAAAACCAAGATGCATCTTTGGCAGATTATATTTTCCAAAGATAGAGGCCACACTATGTCCCATTCCACAAGCACTTCTTCTGTGACTTTGACACTCCTCCTGTTGAGAGGTGGCATCTATGTCCCCTCCCCATGAGCTGTAGCAGGAGGGCCTTTGTGACTCTCTTGACCAATAGAGTATGCCAGCCTTGACAGTGTGTGGCTGCCAAGGCCAGTTTTTTTAAAAAAATGCCTTTCACTTCCACCTTGTTCCCTGGGATCCACTCTTGGAACCTAGCCGCCGTGCTGGGAGGAAGCACAACCAGGCCTTGGAAAGGCCCACATGGAGGGGAACCACAGTCCCTAGCCCAAATACCCTGCTGAGCTCCCAGCTGACAGACAGCACCAACTTACCAGCCACGAGTGAGCTTTCCTGGAAGTGATTCTACAGCCTCTGGGCGAGCCACGTCAGCTGATGCCACATGAAGCGGAGATGAACTACCTCCACCAAGCCCTGCCCAAATTGCGGCTCTTCGAGCAAAACAAATGACTGTGATTGTTAGAAGCAAAAAAGAAAATGGATTCCACTCAAAAACTTGGCTGTGAACGTTTAGAACAGCTTTATTCATAACTGCCAAAACTTGGAGGCGACCAAGATGTCCTTTGGTAGGTGAATTTGTAAACAAACTGTGATACATCCAGACAATGGAATATTATTCAGTGCTAAATAGAAATGAGGCATCAAGCCATGAGATGCGGAGGAATCTCAGATGCATGTTACCAGGGAAAAGGAGCCAATCGGAGAGCCTACAAACTTAAAGCTCCAACTCCGCGATGATCTGGAAAAGGTAAAACTATGAAGACAGTCATAAGATCAGTGGTTTTCCAGGGTGAGGAGGGAGGGATGTTTAGGGGGAGCACAGAGGACTTTTTGGGCAATGGAACCACTCTATGGTGCGGTAATAGTGGATACATCTTATTAAAGATTTGTGAAAACATGTAGAATACACGGCGCCAGGAGGGAACCCTAATGTGAACTGTGTTTGGCTGACGACACGTCAGTGTAGGCTCATGGATTGGAACACACGGCCCACTCTGGTAGGGGATGTGGATGACTGGGCGGCTGGCCTGTGGATGTGGGTGAGGTGGCACACGGGAAATCTCCGTATCTTCCACCCAACGTTGCTATGAACGTAAAACTGCTCACAAAATAGTCTGTTTGTTTGTGTGTTTTTGAAGACAGGGTATGACTCTTTCACTCGGGCTAGAGTGCAGTGGTGTGGTATCATGGCTCACTGCAGCCTGGGACTCCTGGGCACCTCAGCCTCCCGAGTAGCTGGGACCACAGGCACCTGCCACCACACTCTGCTAATTTTAAAATAATTTTTGTAGGCTGGGCGTGGTAGCTCACACCTGTAATCCCAGCACTTTGGGAGGCCAAAGCAGGTGTATCACCTAAGGTCGGGAGTTTGAAACCAGGCTGGTCAACATGGTAAAACCCTGTCTCTACTAAAAATACAAAAATTAGCCAGGCGTGGTAGTAGGTGCCTGTAATTCTAGCTACTTGGGAAGCTGAGACAGGAGAATCACTTGAACCCGGGAGGCAGAGGTTGCAGTGAGCTGAGATCATACCACTGCACTGCAGCCTGGGCAACAGAGTAAGACTCCATCTCAAAAAATAGAAATAATTTGTGTAGAGATGGGATCTTGCCATGTTGCTTGAACTCCTGGGCTTAAGTGATCCTTTTACCTCAGATTCTCCCACCTTGGCCCACCAAAAACATTGAGACAACCAGTGTGAGGCACCACACCTGGCCTTTTTTACTTTTTTTAAACTAGTTTCAGTTTCTGAAGGAAGGCCTTGGCCAGGTTTCTGAGCCCCACCCACCCTCCTGCTGCACAAGACCATGGAAAATGCCTCGTTCAGCTATTTCTCAGCCTCTTTTAAGCAGCACAGCAGAGAGGGACTGAGATCAGAGCTCTGGCCGGGCGTGGTGGCGCATGTCTGAAATCCCAGCTACTCGGGAGGCTGAGGCAGGAGAATCGCTTGAACCCAGGAGGCGGAGGTTGCAGTGAGCTGAGATCGCACCACTGCACTCTAGCCTGGGAGGACAGAGCAAGACCCAGTCTCGGGGTAGGGGGAAGGAAAAAAAACGGAGATCTAGGCTCTTCCTCCAGCTACACGATATGGATCAGGCCCCTGGACTCTTCCGGCCTCCATCTGTAAAATGAAGGAACAGGAGGAATTCTGATGGCCTGTGCCTTTGATCTCTGTGAGCAGATTTGGTTTTATAAGGTCTCTCATCTGGCATGACATGCTGGAACAGAAGAAAATGGCCACAGTCACTGTTACCTGTGAACGTAATCAATTAAAAACTGGTACCGTGTTATTGGTACTCTCATGTTTGAAATACCTGCTAGTATCTGCTTGGTCTAGACCAGCTGTTCTCAAAGTGTGGGCCCAGGCCCCCCCGTAGCAGCAGCAGCACCTGAAGTTGTTGTTTTTTTCCTTTTTTTACGAGATGAGGTCTATGTTACCCAGGCTGGTCTACACCTCAAGCCTCGGCCTCCTAAATGCTGGGATTACAGCTGTGAGCCACCATTTCTGGTGTTTTTTTTTGAGACAAGGTCTTGCTCTGTTGCCCAGGCTGCAGGGCAATGGCATAATTATGGCTCACTGCAGCCTCAAACTCCTAGGTTCAAGCCATCCTCTCCCCTCAGGCTCCCACCAACCTTGGCTCTCTTTTCTTTTCTTTTCTTAAGACAGAGTCTTGCACTGTTGCCTGGGCTGGAGTGCAATGGCATGATCTCGGCTCACCAAAATCTCTGCCTCCCAGGTTCAAGCAATTCTCCTATCTCAGCATCCCGAGTAGCTTGGGATTACAGGCATGCGCCACCATGCCCAGCTAATTTTGCATTTTTAGTAGAGATGGGATTTCTCCACGTTAGTCAGGGTGGTTTTGAATTCCCTACCTCAGGTGATCTGCCCACCTTGGCCTTCCAAACTGCTGGGATCACAGGCATGAGCCACCGGGCCCGGCCTCTTTTTCTTTTGTAGAGACAAGGTCTCATCATGCTGCCCAGACTGGTCTCAAACTCCTGGGCTCAAGCAATCCTCCTGCCCACCTGGAGCTTATTAAAGACTCAAATCCCAGGGCCCAACCCCAGACCTGCTGAATCAGGAACTCTAGGGGTGGGGCCCAGCAACCTGCGTTTTAGTAAGCTCACGAATCAGGTGATTCTGATGCATGCCAAAATTTGAGAACCACTGTCCTGGAAAAGGGTGTGTTAAGCTTGTCGCTGCTGACGCTTCAGGCCAGATCATCCTGATCTGGCCCGGGGCGGGGGGGGGCTGTCCTGTGCACTGGAGGATGCTGCCAGACTCCTCGGACCCTACCCCAATGGCATGCCACCCGTGCCTCAAGTCACGATGATCCAACACAACACAGTGCCAGCTGTCCTCCAGGGAACAAAACTGTCCAGCAGAGAACCCCTGGCTGGAAGGAAAGCCCTGATTTTGCAGTGACTGAAGTACAGGATCACATAAAACCTGGAGCACAGACGGTGCAGGCACAGTCATCATGCCAGGCTGTCACTCTGGCCAGTCATCTGCTCCTCACTGCAACTTGAAAATGATCCCTCCGACTTTTTTTTCTTTTTTCAAGACGAAGTCTCACTCTGTCACCAGGCTGGAGTGCAGTAGGTGATCTCGGCTCACTGCAACCTCTGCCTCCTGGGTTCAAGCCATTCTCCAGCCTCAGCCTCCTGGGTAGCTGTAATCACAGGTGCCCACCACCACACCCAGCTAATTTTTTTGTATTTTTAGTAGAGACGAGGTTTCACCGTGTTAGCCAGGATGGTCTCAATCTCTTGACCTCATGATCTGCCTGCCTTGGCCTCCCAAAATGCTGGGATTACAGGTGTGAGCCTTCGTGCCTGGCTGTGATCCCCATTTTATAGCAAATCCCACCTCCCTGCTTACAAGCTGTGTGACCTTGGGCAAGTTATTTGAACTCTCTGTGCCTCTCGATGTAAAATGGAAAGATTCATATAATAATACTTACCTGCTAGGGCAGCTGAGTGCATGAAATGACTACTGAAGCAAGCGACAAACTCAGCCCAGTGCCCGAGGTGGTAAACACTGGCTCATTTTCTCATTATCTGGCTCAGGCTCTTATCAAAATGGATTTGTGTTCCCTGACCCCACACTGCCACTGTCACAGCCAGCTGGAGGCGGGCAGAGACCAGCCCAACGTGGACATGACTGAGTATGCCACTGCTTGTCAGGGTGCCTGCAGTCACAGCTTGGGAACAGCCAGGAGATGACCCTGGGTCTCTGCCACCAGCAGGGACTTCTTTTGGGTGGCTTGAAGTAGACAGCACCCAGCTCTGCAGACCTGAGCACCCCGTGTGCCCCACATGACATGGAGCAGAACCTGGAGACATCAGCTATCTGCCCCTCCACCCTGGGTGAGCTCTGGATGCCGCAGGAAAAGAGAACCAGCATAGTTCCTCTTCTGCATCTCACATCCCAATAAAATATTTATTATTTCAAGAAATAAATCTTTAAAAAAAGAGAAAAAAAGAGTGTCTCTATTGCTTTCCCCCACAGGTCAGTCCTTGGGAACCAATGAGTTTCTTGCCATCGTGGTTTCTGCGGCTGCAGGGGCCAGCCAGGTCTGGAGGGGACTCCTGTGGGAAGTGTCCAGCCTGGCCCCTCCACCAACTCTCAGCGTCCTGGGGCTGCCTCCTGGGAAGGGTGGAGGAGCAGGCCTAGGTTGGTGGGTGGGGTTGCTGGGAGAGGGAGCAGGATTATAAAACTGGGTGGTGGCAGTGTTCTGAAGGCCTGACCCGCTGAGGCAGTCGGGGCTCTGGGCGGGGGGAGAGGGGAAGGGGGCGTCCTGCGGCAGGCATGCCACTCAGGGAAGGACGGCTGGATCTCAAGGCGGTTTGAGGCTGGAGGTAGGGACAAGGACTTGACATGGGTGGGGTTGAGGGCTGCCTGGGTAAGTGGACAGGGCAACTGGAAACTAGGCATGGAGTGCCATGGGGCTGAGGCTCCATCCCAAGCCCCTGTCTGCAAAAGATGCTGGGGGGTAAGGAGTCAGTATCTGTGGGAGTGCCTGGTGCACAAAGGCCACCCCCGGGCAGGGGTCCCAGAGCCTGTTCTCTGAGCCTGGGGTGGAAACCTCCCCTTGGAGGGGCCAGGGCTTGAGGCTTTGGAACAAATCCACCATCTGGAGTGGCAGGTCATGCCAGGATGGGTTTTGGGAGAAGCCCGGAGTGAAAAGGGTTGGAACAAGCAGGAGAAAGAAACAACTCAACCAGGGCCTAGGTGGTCCCTGCAGCCCAAACTGTGGTCCCCAAGTGTAGCGGGAAGGTGGTGGGATCGGGAAACCGAGAGGAAAGGGGCTAAGGGGAGGCACGAACAGGGCCCCTTGGCTTAGCCTTCCACCCACCCTCTGCCCCTGCGTCCACAACCCAAATGCCAGCGGGCCCTGTGTTCCTGGCTCCCCTCACAGGAGGAGGGTAAGCCCCCAATTCCCCTGCCCGGAGCAGGTACCATCCAGGCCCATGGGGAGGGGCCCTCCTTGAACCCTTCAGGGACCATGGGGCAGCCTGGTCCCTGCTACCCTCTCTTGCAGGTCTAGAAGCCCCATCCTGGGCCCAAGAATGACTGGCCCCCTTCATCTGGCCCAGATCCAGCCTTGCACAAAGCAAGGGGCCTTGACCACCTGCTCCTGGGCCCTGCAGACTCTCCGAGCAGCCCGACATCTGCTTGGCCTTGATGCTGCCATGAATTCCCAGGAGAGAACCAGGAGCCTGCCTGGGAGGTCCCAGGGGCTCGGTGTGCCGCCGCCTCCTATTCCTCTGCACGGCTCTCCTCTGGACACTTCCAGGTGAAGGAAGTAAGCTCCAGCCTGGGGGAGCTGCGAGGAGGACAAGCAGCCGGAGCCCAGGACCTGCTGGTACTCTCTCCTGTGTCAGGGGAGAGCCAGCCGTGGGTGCCAGGCAGGGCGGCAGAGGTGGCCTCACAGACAGCCCTGGCACAAGGCCACCTGGCCTTTGCGGAAGTCACGGCAGGGGCAGAGCCGGCGGTACTTGGTGTTGGAGCCGGCACAGCTGAAGAGCAGGGGCTCCTTCTGCAGATAGCACTCCTGGCCAGGCTGGGCGAAGGCCGGGTACAGGTGGTTCATCTCCGACTCGGTGCTGTCACAGGGCACCTGCAATCTGGCATGCATAGCACCATCACTCAGCATTGGTTGCTTGGGCTGAAGGGCTGGGCCAGGGTAGGGGTTCCCCACAGCCCAGCACTGCCTGCTCCCCTTCTCTGACCCATCCCCATCCCAGAATGGATAAGGAAATGTGTTACAGCTCCCTACTGTTACACCCAGGACAGCTTTCATGGTTTGGGCTAGACAACGCCCAAACAGGCTGGGTAGGGGGCTGAGTGGGTGAAGGAGAGCAGGGACTGAAAGGAGCCTCTCCTCTAGTTTAAGGCTTGGCCAAGAGTGGGGCAGCAGTGACCTGGATGTTGGCCTGGAGGGTCCCTTCTGGGTCCTTCCTGACTCGTTGGAAAGCATTAAATCCCCCACCGCTGAAAGGGCTGAGGGCCAGTTCTGGGTATGAGAGCTCATGGTGAGCCTGCTGGGCCAGCAAGGATGGGGGCTGGGGGGTGGGGGCCCATACTCACTTGAGGAAGGCGTCCTGGCTGTTGAGGAAGGGGAAGAAGGAGGGCTCGCAGATCAGCCCGTGGTCCAGGCAGGTGTCGGTGCACGCCCTCCCAGGCACAGCCAGCCAGGCCCGCAGGGAGTTCACGGGGGGCCAGGCCCCCAGGGTCAAGCTGGCATTCTGAGCCCATTCGAGGTGGGTGGCATTTGGGGCCAGGACAAAAGGGCTCTGCGGGGCATGGGCCCCTGGTTGGGCAGGGCCTGGAGATGTGCAGAAGTCCTGCAAGGAGGGGGGAGCAGCGTTAGGTAGGGAAATGCCAGCCAGGTACACCCGGGGGACACCTGAAGGTGTGGCCCTGCCAGTACAAGCCACAGTACCAGCCACCACTAATGGGCACTTACTGAATACCAGGTAGCTTTACCTGCATTATTTTATTGACTTCCAATGGACACTTGTGTCTCCAGGTCACTTACAGGGAGAATGGAAGCTGAGAGGTCACGGCGCCTGCCCAAGGCTTTGGGGTTGGACAACAGAACAGGACTTGGATTCAGGGCTCTCTGCATCCTGTCTGCCCTGGAGCTGTCCTGATGCTCAAGTCAAGCTCTGGTTTCTACCCTGGGGCCTGCGAGCCCTGCCCACCGTGGGGACAGGGACCCAGGCTGGCTGTGAGCCCCTCCCTCCAGGGGCTGGAGGGCCCCACGGATGCTTTTCTGAGCTTCCTGCAGGATGCCGCCACAGATGTCTGGATACAGTCCTGGGTTCTGGCCACAGTCCTGGACCCTCACCCCGTCACCTCAGCATGCCCTCCCTTCTAGGGGACTCAGTATTCCCATCTCTAAAGGGACAAGGGAGAACTAGACTCTCTCAGCCCCTAATACTGGTGGGACCAAGGACAAGATGGAGAGGCCACACGCCCACGGAAATTTTTTTTCTTTTTTTTTCTTTTGAGATGGACTCTCACTCTGTCACCCAAGCTGGAGTGTAATGGCACAATCTTGGCTCACTGCAACCACCACCTCTCGGGTTCAAGAGATTCTCCTGCCTCAGCCTCCCAAGTAGCTGGGACTATAGGCATGTGCCACCATGCCCAGCTAATGTGTGGGGTGTGTGTGTGTGTATGTGTATATGTGTGTGTGTGTGTATGTGTGTGTGTGTATGTAGCCACCACGCCCAGCCTATTTGTGGAAATTTCAATGGCCATACAGCCACCTGCCTGAGGGCCCTGAGCCCAAGGCCCACTCCAAGCATCACCCTGGAGACCCAGAGCCTGCAGAGCCATGCTGTCTGGGATATCTGCAGCCCTCGTGGTGGCTTAGATCCACTGGCACGCAGCAGGGGCCAAAGTAGGGCACGCCCTCCTCCTCACCCACGACTTCCAAGCACTCTGCGCACCGTGGGAGGAGAAGGGAGTGTCCTCCTGGGACAGCTGCCTGCCTGGACGCTCCTTTGGGGGCTGGGGGTGGCCGAGCTTTTGACATAGTGGGGCTCTCTGCTTTCTCAGGGCAGAGATCTTCACCTCCCATTTTAGTCTCACTGTCATCCTTAGCGGGTGGGAGGGGGATCTTCACTTCCCATTCAGTTACTAAATCCCAATCAGTTACCAGACTTTGGAACCACTGTTTTCTAAGAATGGAAGTCTTTGTGTTTCTGAGTGCCTTGGAGTTGGGCTCTAGAGCTGGGCCCAGGGCAGGGGCGCTTAACACGCCCACCCTCGGTCAGGCCTGCCTGTCTCCAGCCCTGAGGGAACTCTGGGAAAAGAGCCTGGACAGGCTGGAGTAGGGAGCAGGGAGCTGGATGGTCTCAGGGTGCAGGGCCCTGAGCAGATCATGAAGCTCGCTCAGCCCCCTCCTCTGGTCTGAGGGATCTGGGGCAAAGACAGAGGGCTCACCGACCTGGTGCTGGATGTAGGCGTGGATCCGCTCCAGCATCCCCTCGCAGGTGTACTCGTAAGGTAGGTAGGGGTCTACCTGTGGGAGGGACGAAGACACATAGGGTGGGAGGAGGCCCAGCTGCCAGGGGCCCTGCCACACTTAGCACTGGGGGTGCAGGTCTGGTGGGCTCTCACATTCTGTACCATGCCTAGGGAGCCAACCACCCCGTCCACCTGGCCCTTCCACCCAGCTCAGAGTCCCTGGTTACCCGGCATGCCCTCCAGAGGCCCTCAGGGACTTAGGCTCAGGACCCATGAGGCCCAGCCTCATCCCTCCCCTCTCCCTCCCAGGTCGTGGTCCCAACGCCACTGAGCATAAAGCTCATCGCTCTGTCCCCTCCTGGGCTATGAAACCTCCTCTTCCCACAGCCCACCCACCCTCTTAGGCATCACCTACTCCAGGGAGCTGTCCCTGAGCCCCACCCCACTCCTGTTACAGACCCATTTCCCTTGATGGCTCCAGCACCCCACACTTCCCGCAGCACAGAATGGCAGCTGTGTTACCATCTCCTATTCATTCCTCATCTCTCTCATGAACTCATCAACCACCTGAGAATGGGGACTATGGCTTGTTCACATTGTATCCCCAGTGCCTGGCATAGTGCCTGGCATACAGTAGATGCTCAGGAAATAGCCATGAATGAAAAGGCACCCCAGCTCTGCCTGTATCCTGCCCAAGACATGCAACATTCACGCAGAGGAACACAGGAGCATCTCCCAGTCGGCGACAATTAGGGTACTTTTGTAAAGCACCCTGCCCCTACCAGGCACAAACCTCCGAACGGAGGCCACAGGCTGTCAGCTAAATATCTAATAGTTGGCTGGGCGTGGTGGCTCATGCCTGTAATCCCAGCACTTTGGGAGGCGGAGGTGGACGGATCACCTGAGGTCAGGAGTTCCAGACCAGCCTGGCCAACATGGTAAAACCTTGTTTCTACTAAAAATACAAAAAAATTAGCTAGGCATGGTGGCAGGTGCCTGTAATCCCAGCTACTTGGGAGGCTGAGGCAGGAGAATCGGTGGATCCTGGGAGGTGGAGGTTGCGGGGGGCCAAGACCGCGCCACTGGACTCCAGCCTGGCAACAGAGTGAGACTCTGTCTCAAAAATAAATAAATACATAAATATCTAATAGTCACACAGCAACCTGCCCTGTGGGCAGATGCATGGAGTAGCTGGGGTCCAGGAAGCCAGGGGAATGGAGAGAAGAGGTGATGGAGGAGTAAGGGAGCACCCCCGCCTCCTCCCCACTTCTTAACCATTCCCTTCTTGTTCCATTAACTTTCTCAGGCCCAGTGCGGGGCCACTGTAGAGGAAACCACTGACCTGGACGAGCAGCGGCAGCAGTGAGGATCCGGGGAGGAGCCATCTCAGACTCAGAGAAAGGTCTGTTTCAGCCTTCAACCTCCCCACCCAGCACACCTGGTGGCACCTGCCTTGGCCCCACCCACCTCCTAGCAACAACAGTGCTTTCCGGTCTTTAGCCAGCCGGTAAAATCTAACTGTTTGGCTCAAGCCTGCAACCACCTCCTTTCTTCCTCATCAGAGCTGGGTAGTATGAGAAGGTCCAATTGCACCACACTTGGTCCTGCTTCCAGCGTACCCACTTCTTAGACCTGTCCTGGGGCCTCTGGCCAAGGGGACATCCTGACACTCAAGGGTCCCAGGGAAGCAGCCACCACTGATACCCTTGAAGTCGGACCTTCCCCCAGCACTGACTTCCCCGGCACTCTGCATGGATACTCTTCACACTGGGGCAACTTCGAAGTCCCAGAGAATCCGCAGTTCCCATCCTCTGCACAGCCCTGTCCTGACCTGCCCTCGTTCCCGAGATGATAGCCCAAGCAGCCCCTGGCTGCTGCCCCAGCTGGTTCCCCAGACACTCATGACAAAGTCCCGAAAGCCTCTGAGCCCCACACGCCCCTGGGGGTCTTGCAGGGACAAGGCTTCACTCCCAAGGTTATAAATAAAACTCCCCAGAGAAGAGCTTTCCCCTCTGAACACCGCCTCCCCACTCCGTGACAGCAAATCTCTGAGTTATTCTCACTCCTGTGTCTAAAGCCCTCAACACAAGGTAATTCAAAGGTCCCCGTGTGAAGTGAACACTCACAGCCAGGGATGACGTTCTGCCTGCCACGAATCTCCTGCCTGAGGAACCAGCATGCCTGGCCTGGAAATTACCCCCATTAGGTCTAATTACAGGTGTGCGCCCTAATCAGTCTTGACAGAGTGACAGGTGCTGGTCCTGCCTGGGAACTGCTGGCCTGCGGGAGTGACAGCAGGGAAGCATTGGCATCACCTTGAATGGCCTTGCTCTGGACCCAGAGATGCCCACAGGCAAACCTGGGGAGATGCAGAGACCCAGACGGGGGGCCGAGCCCTTGTTTTCCTCGCTGTCAGGTCGGGGCCGGCTGGGCTGTGTCTTAGGCCTCCCTCTTCTCACCTCCTCTCCTCACCTCCTCTTCTCATCTCTTACTCCCCCTCCTGGCCTCTCCTCCCTCCCTCGCCCTGTAAAAGGCCATGTGACTTGCAGAACATGCCACTCCCCCTGATGGTGGCCCTCATTTGCTATCAACCTTCACCAGCTGTCCCTAAATCTGTTTTCTAAAATAGAAATATTAGGCTGGTGGCTCATGCTTGTAATCACAGCACTTTTGGAGGTTGAGGTAGAAGGATTGCTTGTGCCCAGGAGTTCAAGACCAGCCTGAGCAACAAAATGAGATGCCCCCCTCCATCTCTATTCAAATAATATAAAAAGAAAATTAAAATAAATAATAAAATAGGATTATTAGAATTACTCAGAGTTCTTGTTTAAAATGATTCCCAGGTGAAGCTGGGTCCTGTTAAATGGGAAGGGGCGGGATGGGCTGGAAAATCTGCATTTAAGCTCCTCCCCCAGCTGATTCTTGGGCACAATAATTTTTTTTTGAGACGAAGTCCTGCTCTGTTGCCAGGCTGGAGTGCAGTGGTGCCACCTGGCTCACTGCAACCTCCAACTTCCTGGTTCAAGTGATTCTCCTGCCTCAGTCTCCCAAGTAGCTGGGATTACAGGCGCCTGCCACCAAGCCCAGCTCATTTTTGTATTTTTAGTAGAGAGAGGGTTTCACCATGTTGGCCAGGATGGTCTCAAACTCCTGACCTCGTGATCCACCTGCCTCAGCCTCCCAAAGTGCTAGGATTATAGGCATGAGCCACCATGCCCAGCCTGGGCACATGAATGTTTCTGAGCTGCTGTGAGCTAAGAAGGGATAACTATTATGAGGAGGGGCGGGCCCACAGAAGGGAGGGGCCTGAGGGCAGAGGGCCCTCAGCTGGTTTGAGGCCCAGCACAAGTCTCAGCTGGTCTGATTGGCAATACCTTGGTTCCTTAATCCTTTTGTAATTGTTATTTTTTAATTAACTCATTAACAAAATTAAATAGATGTTCATGTAAAAAGAAAAAAAATCAAACAGGAAAGCAGTGTAAAGGACGTGTCCTCCTACCCCAGACACTTGGTCCTTCCCCCGTTACCAATTTCTTGTGCGTCCAACCAGAAATCCTGGAGACTAACCCAGCACCTTCACACACACAGCCCTCCCCTGACCCTGGTTTCTGGTCGTCTGCGGGGAACCACAGGCTGGAATTATCCACAGGGTGGAGTGTCTCACTCATTCAATGTGTCCTGGAGGTTGGGTCAAACCCTGCTCCCCACATTGGAAAAGTCCATGCAGTCTCCCTCCCCAGCCCCTCTACAGGAGAAGCCTTGGGGGACTGCTTTGCAAGGCAGGAAGAGGGAGGAGAGCAGAGGGAGGTGGGTGGAGAAGTGGAGAGGAGCCAGAGGAGACCGTGGGGTGGGAGGAGCCCCCTTCCCTAGCTGTGTGCCTTGCTGCCAGCATCCCCATGCAGTGGGCTGGGAGTGGTCAGTTTCCAGCAGTGAAATTAATCAGTTAACCCCCTTCACTCTTCTTTTCTATGCATTGAGGCCCCTAAGGCCTCCTTCCTGGCATTGGTGCTTCTAGCCCAATTTAAGCCTGTAAACTGGCACCAAACACCTGGCCCTCTTCTGAGGGCGTGGCCAGGGGGCCAAGTTCCTATTTGGTTTTCGTTTTGGTTTTTTAAAAATTTTTTGAGACAGTGTCTCAATCTGTTCCAGGCTGGAGTGCGGTGGCACCATCTTGGCTCACTGTAACCTTCGACTCCTGGGTTCAAGCGATTCTCCTGCCTTAGCCTCCTGAGTAGTTGGGATCACAGGCCAACCACACCTGGCTATTTTTTTTATTATTATTTTTATTTTTAGTAGAGATGGGGTTTCGCCAAGTTGGCCAGGCTGGTCTCGAACTCCCAGCCTCAAGTGATCCGCCCACTTCAGCCTCCCAAAGTGCGGGGATTACAGGTGTGAGCCATTGTGCCTGGCCTCTATTTGTTTTTGCTCTACAAGGTCTTGCCAGAACTGAAGCCACCAGCTCAGGACAGGGACAACACTGGGTTGAGAGCTGGCAAGGGAGCTTTTTATCCCCCACCCTCCCCGCTCTGTCTAGGCCGCTGCTTTGCTAGGACCCAGGATTACCAGGTCACACAGCCTCTCCCTGCATGCAGCGGGGATGTCGGCACCCCACCCCCAGTCACCTGTGACTCCACCTCAGGGCTCTCTGGCCTGCTGAGCCCATCTGTGTACAGGACAAAAGTGTCAGGAATTGGCATCCCAGGCGCTGCCCTCAGCCACAGACAGATGGGAGAAGGATACCTACCCTAGCCTTCTTCTGCTCATTCAGGACAACTCTGGAATGTGACCCACCTCATCTCCCAGAGGCCCCGTGGTGACAAGCTCCAGGTGCCACCTGCTGATACACACCCTGACTCACCTGGCACCTCAGTGCCTGCTTCCTGGGGTTGCTTCCCAAATAAACTACTGCTGAAATCCCTGTTTTCATGATACTTCCTGGAGGAATCCAATCTCAGGCAGTCCATGGCCTTGAGAAACCTGCCGTGTTGGCCAGGCTGGCCTCAAACTCCTGGCCTCAAACGATCCGCCTGCCTTGGCCTCCAAAAGTGCTGAATTACCGGCATGAGCCACTACACTCGGCCTGCAGTGATTGTTTTTGCTCAGCCTGTTATCTGAACTATAGTAAGAAGGAGATTCGGGAGGACCACAGTGAGAGGAACCATCGTTCACCAGGTCGGAACCTCCCCAGAGTGAAGCAACCAGCCAAGCACAAGGAACGATCAAAAGCCATAAAGGTGCCCACCATGGAGATAAGCATCAGGCACAGCCCCTCCTCCTCTCACCCAGCCCACACAGGTGCCCCTACACACGCCAGCACCCACGCCCACTACTCAAAGCATTGCCCCAGGGCAGCACCATCAGCACCACCCCTGTCCTAGAAAGGCAGGAACTTAGTCCCACCCGGACTTGCTGAGTCAGAACCTGCATTTAACAGATGGTCTGTGTGCGCATTATATTTTGAAATGTGCTGTGGGAAGGCTACAAACCCACATCTGCAGCAGTGTTTTAAGAACCTCCGCACATTCATCGCAAAAACATTCCCTTAGCACCTGGCCCTCAAAAGTGCTCCATAAACAGTTTGAGATCCAGGGCTGCCATGGAAGGTTGTGCAGGTTGCTCACTGCACAAAGGCATTCCCCACTCATCACACCTGAGTAGATACATGGGGGCCCCCATTCCACTCTCTAATCCACATACCCTGGCTCAGGGCTATGTCTGACCAGGGAAGAGATGGACAGGTTCGCCAACCCCGGCCTGAATTCACCCAGAGGGGCACCATTTTCTAATCAGAGTGAAGACAAACAGTGTGGGCTAGAGGTGGTCCTGACTGTATGTGGCTGCTCTCACCTGAGTTGTCATGATGGCCTTGATGGCTGCTTCAAACTCCTCTGAGTTGTTGTAGTCGACTGTCCACACGTGGGGCTTGCCGATGAAGTTCTCCGCATAGGGATGCTGTGAGAATACCTGGCCAGGGCAGAGACCGCATGCAGCTGCCCCCTGCGCCCGCCAACGGGGCAAAGACAAAGGAAGGTGCCCCATCCAACTGTCCCCTCTCTCCCTTTGCCCTACATCTCATCTACCTCTTCCAGGACCTGCCGGGGTCTCTGTCCCAGCCCCTCCTGATCGGGGACCACGGTGCTTTCCACTCACCTCTCTGGAGGTGGGCTTGCCTCGGAAGAACTCGTGGTTGAGGGAGCTGTGGGGCGGGCTGAAGCGGGACTGCAGGAAGATGCAGCCATTGGCAATGGCCTCCAGGGGGGCGGGGCCCTCGTAGGGGAAGCCAAACCCGATGAAGAGCTGCAGAGTCAAGGGGCACAGTGATCAGGGAGGGCTGAGCTGCCACAGCCCAGGAGCCCCCAGGATGCCGGGACAAGGTTAGGCTTCGGGATATTCACAGGAGGCAGCTGGGTCAGAAAAGCCAGCCCAGGTCATCTTGTGCCACGGGCAAGTACTTCCCCTCTCTGGGCCTCAGCTTCCCCATTTGTGAAACAAGGGGGTCCAATTAAGTGTTATCAATGGTCTCTTCTTGCTCTGTCAGGCTATGATTTATGATTCTGAAGGGGGGGAAGAGAAGAGTAAGGGTCTCAAGCCAAGAAAGCTCCAGGCTCGTACCTGTAAGAGACCTCCAAGAACCTTCACTCATCCCCAAAACATTTATTCAGCGCCTAACCTGTGCGAGGCGGTTCACAATAGCAAGGACATGGAACCAACAGAGGTGCCCGTCACGGGTGGATTGGATAAAGAAACTATGGCACATCAACACCATAAAATCCTATGCAGATATAAAAACGAACAGAACCATGTCCCTTTCAGCAACGTGGCTACAGCTGGAGGCCGATATCCTCAGTGAATTAAAGCAGGAACAGAAACCAAATACTGCATATTTTCACTTAAAAGTGGGAGCTAAACATTGGCTACTCATGGGCATAAAGATGGCAACAGTAGACCCTGGGGACCACTGCAGTGGGAGGAGGGAGGGACAAAGACTGAAGAGCTAACTGTTGGGTGCTATGCTCACTACCTGGGTGACCAGAGCCTTCATATCCCAAACCTGAGCATTATGCAACAGACCCAGTAACACGCCTGCCTGCGTATGTACCCCTTGAACCGAAAATAAAAGTTGAATTTTTAAAAATTTTTCTTTCCTTTTTTTTTTTTGAGACAAAGTCTCACTCTGTCGCCCAGGCTGGAGTGCAGTGGTGCAATCTCAGCTCCCTGCAACCTCCGCCTCCGGGGATTCAAGCAATTTTCCTGCCTCAGCCTCCTGAGTAGCTACGACTATAGGCACCCACCACGGCACCCAGCTAATTTTTGCATTTTAGTAGAGACCAGGCCTCCATGTTGACCAGGCTGGTCTCAAACTCCTGACCTCAGGTGATTCACCCACCTTTGCCTCCCAAAGTGCTGGGATTACAGGTGTGAACCACCTTGCCCAGCCAAAATTATTATTTTTTTTCAAGTAACTTATGCTAGGAGTGCACAGGGCTGCCCTGGAAGGCAGTTAATAAATGACTCTGAATCCAGGGCTGTTCTGTGAGGTTGTTCAGGTTATTCACTGCATGTGAGCATCTCCACTGCCCCCAACACACACAGACACACAGACACACACACACACACACACACACACACACATGCAAGATCCCTTGGGAAAGAAGCTATGAGGCGATCAAGAGAGGGCCTGGGGCCAGGTGCAGTGGCTCAGGTCTGTACTCCCAACACTTTGAGAGGCCGAGGTGGTAGGGTCGCTTGAGCCCAGGAGCTCAACACTAGCCTGGGCAGAGTAGGAAGACACCATCTCTACAAAAAAGTTAAAAACTAGCCAGGTGTGGCGGTGTATGCCAATGGCTCCAGCTGAGGGGACTGCGTGAGCCTAGGAGTATAAGGTTGCAGTGAGCCCTGATTGCACCACTGCATTCCAGCGTGGGTGAAACAGCAAGACCCTGTCTCATAAAAGAGGGTGGGGGGTGCCTAGAAGCTGGCTGGAGACTCTCCAGGGCCCAGTCAGGGTTTTGCCCACTGTGCCAATTGCTGCTCCAGGAGGCCCATGAAGTAGTCACTCAGGAATAGCGGCTCAAGGGCACTCTAGCCAGGACCCCTTTCTCCACCCACCCAATCACCCTGGCTCAGTGTCTCCAAAAGCTAGGCCTGACCCAGGAGTCCATTTGGCTGGACTGGTACTGCAAGGGGGTGGGTGGGAGCCCAACTCCACTTCCCCCACCCCTGAGCCATGGCTCTGCTGCTCTGCTGGGCCTGCCCAGGCCCCCTTCTCTATAGGGCCTCTGTTGCCTGGTGGGCACCCTCATCTCTGCCCCTGGGCTCTGGCCAGATGTGGGGCTCAGGGCAGCAGAGCATGCTGGGGTGTGTCCACATGTGGAAGGGGCCTGAGTGGGGGTGGCAGGCATGGGTGGTGACCTCAGTGTCTGCAGGCAGCATGTGTGAGAACGGTGCGGAGGATGGGAGCTCACCTTGGCCTTGCGCAGCAGCTGCTGAAATTCGGGCTGCGGTAAGAGGCCGTGGTTCTTCACGAAGGCTGGCACCTCGGGGGGCCGCTGGCTCTCGTAGTACACGGTGCCATGAATCTCCATGTATTTGTTCAAGATGCCCAGGAACTTCTCCTTCCCCTAGAAAAAGAAGAGGGGAAGATGGGAGCCTCATGCGAACCACAGGAGGCAAAGTCAGTGGAGGAGACGCCTTGGTCTGGAAGTCAAAAGATGTGGGCCCAGTCTCAGGTTGGCCCTTAACTGGCTATGGGACCCTGGAAAAGGCCCCTCCCCTCTCTGGCTCTCAAAATCTGTGAGTTGCAGAGATCAGACTAGAGCAGAGGCTTCCAGATTACTTTTAGCCACAAAACTTTTTTCTTTCCAAAGGAACCCTATGGAGACCAATACTTAAATGGATTCACGTGGGGCCACTTGGCCTCCCGTGAACCCCTGATGACCTCCAAGCTCCAGAGAGGAGCTGTGGAGCTCTCTGTAGTCCAGATCATTCACCCCTCTCTCTCACACATACATCCTATCCATCCATCCATCCACCCACCATCCATTCATCCATCTGCCTATCACTCCATTTGTCCACCCACCCATCCATCCATTCACCCATCCATCCCTCTCACACATCCCTCCACTCACCCATTCATTCATCCATTCATCCATCTACCCATCATCTACCATCCATCCATTCACCCATCCATCCTTCTCACACATCCCTCCACTCACCCATCATCTACCCATCCATCCATTCACCCACCTATCCCTCTCATACATCCCTCCACCCATCCATTCACCCATCCATTCATCCATCTGCCCATCAGCTACCCATCCATCCATTCACCCATCTATCCCTCTCACACATCCCTCCATTCACCCACTCAAGCATTCATTCATCCATCTACCCATCATCTGCTCACCCATCCATTCACCCATCTATACCTCTCACACATCCCTCCACTCACCCATTCACCCATCCATTCATCCATCTACCCATTCATATACTTTATCTCCATCCCTTCTTTCATCAAAGGTGGGGGACCTCTGATGGAAGCTCCATATTTGGGATTAGAACTCAGGAGAATTCTACCCTGGAAAAGAGGAGGAAACAGAACTAGACCAGTCCTTACAGGGGTTAAATCCATTTTGTCTCAATCACTATATGGATTAAGGTGATCTGAGATTGCTAGGGATCCCAGCTACGAGCCGAAAGTAAAAGTAAATTCTGTCTGGAATAAAATTGGATCATCCTGGACCTTAAATTATCCTGTGATTTTTCATATTCATTTTCCAGAACTCAAAAAAAAAAAAAAACCATTGAAATCCCAATCAAACCCCCAGTAGACTGTTTTGGTTTTTTTTTTTTTTTGGTAGAAATTGACAAGCTGATTCCAAAACTCATTTGGAAATGCGAAGGAGCTAGAATAGACAAACAACTTTGAGAAAGAACACAGTTAGCAGACTTTTATTACCGATGTCAAGACTTATTATAAAGCTACAGTAGACCAGACAGTGTGGTACTGGCATCAAGATAGATACGCGGATCAATGGAACAGAATAGTGACTCCAGAAATAGACCCACACACACTACGGTCAATTGATTTTTGACAAAGGTGCAAAACATTTCAGTGGAGGAAGGATAGTTTCATCAATAAATGGCCATGAAACACGATATCCATACACAAAAAGTGAAAGAACTTTACACTTATTATATGTAGAAGTTAATGCAAAATGGATCACAGACCTAAATACAAAACCTAAAACGATAAAACTTATACAAAAAAAATAGGAAAAAATATTTGTGACCTTGTGTTAGACAGATTTCTTGAATGCAATACCAAAAGCACAATCCATAAAAGAAAACACTGGACTTCATTAAAATGAAGAACTTTTGCTCTTTGAAAGACACTGTTAAGAGAAAGACAAGGCCGGGTGCAGTGGCTCATGCCTGTAATCCCAGCACTTGGAGAGGCTGAGGTGGGAGGACCGCTTAAGCCCAGGAGTTTGTGACCAGAGTATGCAACATAGGGAGACCATCTCTCTCTCTCTCTCTCTCTCTCTCTCTCTCTCTCTCTCTCTCTCTCTCTCTCTCTCTCACACACACACACACACACACACACGTGTGTGTTTATGTATATAGAGAGAGACAGAGAGAGACAAGCCACAGACTGGAAGAAAATATTTATAAAGCATATATTTGATTCAAGACTTGGATCCAGAATATGTAAAGAACTCTAAAAACTCCATAGTAAGAAAATAAACAACCTAATATTTCTAATAGGCAAAAGTTTTTAAAAAAAACATATCACCAAAGAAGATATATGGAAGGAAGACAGAGAAACACACAAAAATGTCTTCATCATTAGTCATTAGGAAAATGTCAACTGAAACCACAAGAAGACACCATTCTATGCCTGTTAGAATGGCTGAAATTTACAGGACTGACCATGCCAAGCACTGATGAATCTGTGAAAGAATTTAAAGCCTCCTACATTGCTGGTAGGACTATAAAATGGCATGACAACTTAAAAAAAAAGTTAAACATACTTCTACAGTATTAAACAGCCATTATATTCTTAGGCATTTACCCAAGGAGAAATGAAAGCATATGCTTCTACAAAAAATTGTACGTGAACCAAAAAGGCTAGTCAAGACTCCCTGAGTTGCTTTCACAACTTTTCCATGGGTTGCCACCTACAGATTGAAAAGTTCCACCCCAGCTCACCCAGATGACTCTCTGAGAGTCTGGAACATTTCCTCCAGGGATGAGGGTGGGTTTGCCCTGGGCCTGAACCAGTTGCCTTTCCCTCCTTCCTGCTTCATTCCCTTGGTCCCTCACCCCCGCCTCCCCTCCCCACTTCCTGGGACTACAATCTACTAAAATAACACCCAAGCCTTAGCCTCAGGCTCCACTTTCTGGGGAATGTAGAATAAGACAGACCTGCTTAGCACAAAAATCACCCAAAGCCTCATCCTGGGTCCCCAGCTCCCTCTCCCCGTAAGGATGATAAATGACCTCCCATCTTCCCTCCTTCCTCCTCTGCTTCTCGGCCACCTGGTCCCCTGAACTCTGGACGGCATCTCTCCCAGGATGCTACTTTCATTTTTCTCTTCAATCAGCCACCTCTGACTTCCTCTGATTACAAATACCAGAGCAAAGACGTCTTTTTTTTTTGGAAGCAGCTTCTTTGAGGTCTCTAGCTGAACAGGTTGCCTCGGGCTATCACAGAAGTTCCAGCGCTAGAGATAAAACCTTTCTCTTCCCAGACTTCATAACCTCTCATTCTCTTGGGCCAGTTTCTTAATAGCATTTTCTGATATAATATATTCCGTGCGTTCCGCGACCCTCTGACTCTGCCCTCTTCCCCAGCACCCAGTGCCCACATCCTCCCAGGCTTCTCTGCAGCTGTGGCGATCAGCATGGGGAGCCTCACCTTCCAGCACCCCCCTCACACCCCACAGTGAGCTCTGATATCTCAGCAGAGGTCTTGGACCTTGATTCCTGCTTCCAAGCCTTCTCTCTGCTATTCGCCAAGGCTTCATAATGCTGGAGAGTGTAGTTAAGGTCAAGCACTCTGGCTCTGGACTTAGATTGATGCAGGCTGGAACATGAGCTCTGCGCTTACTAGCTATGGGTCACCTTCCAACTCACTGTGCCCTGGGGTCCTCATGTGCAGAATGGGCGTGATCACATTCAGTACCTACCTCATGGTGTGAAGGTTAAATACGAGACGCATGTGAGCCCTTCCCGCAGTGCCTGGCACATAGCAAGCTCTCAGCAAACACAGCCCAGACTGTGAGATCCCCCCGAGTCCTCCTTCTCTCCTCCCTCCTCAGTCATAGACAGAACTGGGGTGGGCACACTGAACTGAGCTGCCTGGAAATAAAGCCATCCAGCGTCCCCTGGAAGTCGGCATGGCCCTGTGACCACGATGGAGCTGACCAGCAGCATGGGAAAGAATGACCGTAAACGTGGCGCCCTGCTCTGCCCCTTCCTTCTCCTTGCTGGCTGGGATGAAGAGGGAATGACTTGAATGGCTGTGGCCCACTTGAACCCTGAGGCAAGGCCAGGGTGGAAACTAAACACAGCGGGTCAAGGTAAGAAGACCCCCGGGAACACCACACCAGCCTTCCCCACCTCTGGAATTTGCAATCAGGAAAGAAAATATACTTCCATCTTGTTTATATCACAATGACTTTTGGAGTTTTCCTGCGACAGCTGGATCTAATCCTGACCAGTGCAGTTGTGACAGTGGTTAAATCCAGTGATCATGTAACAGGCCTGATGTAGGGTGAAGGGGCTTCCCCTGACCAGTCTCCTCATTATTAACCTTGACCTCATGCCACCTGCCTGATGCAATGACCCATCCAACGCTGGTCCCTCTCACTCCCCAGGAGCCGCCCGGTGGCCATGCCAAGCAGGACCTTGACCTCCAGGGACCTGCCTCCCCTCACAGAGGAGCCAGGAAAGACGGCTCCTAGACCCTGCTGTCCCCATCAGCCTCCTCCCCACCTTGGTCCCTCCACAGAAGCCACAGCTCCAGAGAGCCTGAGTCAGGGGAATATCTCCAGGAGAGACCCCTGGAGCGGCTGCTGGAGAGGGGAAGGGAGCAGAAGGCAGAGGGGTCAGGCGGCAAGCGGTTTCCATACCTGGAGCTGCCTCATGGCCAGGGAGAGCACAGGGAACAGAAAGAGAGAGAAAGAGTTAATGATGATTCGCAGACAACACCCCATGCAGGTAGCTCCTCTCTGGGGACCCCCAACCCTGAAGTTGGGGTTCTAGTCTCTAAGCCTCTCCTCCTTCTCTCTGCCTCTCATCCCACAGAACCCCCAAGTCTAGCCTGACCTCCGAAGCCCCCTGCCAACCGACCACGCCCTTGCTGGGTTTACATTGTTTATTGATCTGTTCCTTGGGAGGGTGGAAGATTTAGTCACAGTCCTCAATGAAGGAATCATTTATCACAGGACAAGCCGTCAGCTTCCAGGCTGGGTGTCTTTAAACGGCAGTTAGGAACGTTTTGTCATGAGCTGTTCCTGGGAGACATTTCCAGCATGCAGGGGTGGGAGGTGGGCACTGCATCCTGGAAGGGGGAGATGAGGGACCCAGGCGGGGCCTGTGCTGGGTGGGCGGGTGCTTCCTACGAGCAGGGGCGGGGCTCACCTTCCAGATGTTCGCCTCCTTGCCGTACACCACGGCCATGTTGCTGGCTTTGCCGCCTTTGATGAGCTGCTTCTCCGTCTCGTTGAGCTCCTCGGACACGAAGCCCATGAAGGAGTTGTCAGGGGTGTGAGCTAAGCCCAACCGCGCAAAAGGAATTGGATCACCAAACAAGCAGTGGCTGCCCCTGGCCTCCCTGGACTGCGCTGCCCAAGAGGTCCTCTTCTGGCAAGGGTGGGAAAGGGGGCGGGCCTTAGGAGTACCTGGGGAGAGTGTAATCAATGCCCGGGTCTGGGTGGCCCCTTCCAAGAGACTGCCACAAAGCTCAGAGCAGAAGGAAACCTAGGCCTGGAAGGTGACTTACGCCTATAACTCCAGCACTGGGAGGCTGAGGTGGGAGGATCCCTTGAGCCCAGGAGTTTGAGGCCAGCCTGGGCAACATAGTGAGACCCTGTCTCTATTTAAAAATGCAAAAATTAGCCAGGTATGGTGGCATGCGCCTGTAGTCCCAGACACTTGAGAGGTCCAGGTAGGAGAATCACCTAAGCCCACTAGTTCAAGGCTGCAGTGAGCTATGACTGCACCACTTCACTCCAGCCTGGGCACAGAGCGAGACCCTGTGCAAGAAGAAAGAAGAAGAAGGAATAATAATAATAAGATGATGATGATCATGAAGAAGAGGAAAAGGAATAAGAGGAGGAGGAAGATGGGGGAGGGGAAGGAGAGGGGGAGGAGGAGAGAAAGAAGAGGAGGAGGGATAAGAAGAAGGAAAAAGAGGGAGAAGGAGAAGAAGACAAAGAAGATGAAAAAGAAGAGGAGGAAGAGGAAAAGGAGGAGGAAGAAGAAGAAAGAAGGAAGGAGCAGCAGCTACCTAAGAGGTCATCAAGTCCCCCTGTTTGTTTTCAGCTAAGGAAACTGAGGCCAAGGCTCTGGGAGACCCAGCAGAGACTCTGCCCTCCTCAGTCCCTGGAGCCCCAAGCTTTGGCTGCACCTGACTCCTCTTTTCCCTCCACCTGCGCCCATCGGCAGCATCCGTCATCCCAGGAGGAACTTTCTCTGCCTTCTCCATGACTGCACCCCGGCCCGGGCCACATCAGCTCTCACTGGGACCACCCTGACAGCTGCCTCCCCATTCCTGTGGCTCTCTCAGGACAGCCTTTTCTCTGAAATGATCCTTTTGAATCTAGGCCCTATCAATTTCCTCTCCACACAAAACCCCACACGCCAAAGTCCACCCGACAATCTCTAGGCTCTGCCTTCTTTCCCCTCCCACTGCACCTGTGGCCATCCAGCCCGCCCAGAGCCCTGCTGGACGCAGCCCCTCCCCAGACAGACCTGTTCTCGCGGGCCGGTGAGAGGTCTCTCCTGACCCTGGTCACTCGCTGCCTCCTCAACAGCTTTATTTTTCGTCACAGCACTTACCGGCCAGACATTAGATTATACACTTATCTGTTCATGTATAATTGTCAGAATAGGCTGGGCATGGTGGCTCACACCTGTAATCCCAGCACTTCGGGAGGCGGAGGTGGGTGGATCACCTGAGGTCAGTAGTTCGAGACCAGCCTGGCCAACATGGCGAAAACCCGTCTCTACTAAAAATACAAAAATTAGCCAGGTGTGGCGGAGCACGGCTGAGTAGCTCCTCAGCTACTCAGGAGACTGAGGCACAAGAATCACTTGAACCCGGGAGGTGGAGGTTTCAGTTAGCTGAGAACACGTCACTACACTCCAGTCTGGGCTACAGAGCAAGACTCCATCTCCAAAAATAATAATAATAATAATTATCAGAAAATAAGCCCTCTGTGGGCAGTGGTTCTGTTTTGTTCACTTGTGTGCTCCCAGCACCTGAAACAGAGCCTGGGCTGGTTGAATGAATGCTGGACAAAGACGGATGAGATGGAGGAGGCAGCCTCTGTCTCCCAGCTCCGAGCCTCAGCCTGCACTGCCCTCCTCCCTTGTCTTGGATGAGGAAATCCTACTCAGCCTTCGGGGCCCCTCTCACATGACAACTCCTCCCAGAAGCCTTCTCTGGGGTGCACTGTGCCTCCCTTTCTGGCCCCATCTGCGGCAGTTAGGTCTCTGTTAAAGCAGGGATCACTCTGGGACTTCCTTGCCATTTGACTTCTTTGTCCCCAGGACCCCACCCACCAGGGCCAGGGAACCTGTTTGATCTTGTGTTCCAATGCCATGACCATCTGAGGAGCGCAGTCACTGCTAAGCTCCGTCCGCCAGGGAGGGGAGGGGAGGGGAGGAGCACGAGAGCTGAGAACCTGCAAAGCACAGGAGCTCTGCCTTCTGTGCACCAGGATCCGGAATAAGCCATTTATTGGATCCAATTATATTTAATCTACCTTCCTGCATGGGAGGGGCTGTGACAAGTGAGGAGGCTGGGAGCAGCCGCCCAGCCTTGATTCCCGCAACAGCCTTGATTCTAAATACCCTATTTCTTCATTTCAAATGCACATTTCCCACGTTTGAATGTTTCTCCAATTGGGATGCATGTTTTAATCAAATGTGTAGATCTAATGTAGTATTTCCACCCACCCCTCAAGGCCCACAAGACGTAGTAATCAACATCTGGTACAGCTTAGAAGAGATGACGGTTTTCTGTGTAAGTGCCCCCAAAGCTCACAGATTCTTGGGCCTGAAAATCCAGCTACAGAACAAAACGATCTCTCTAGAGCTTCAGGAGGGTCAGGAGGAGCCCCAGAGGCCTGGATGGAGTTCTTTCTGTGGGTGGTCAGGGCCAGGACAGCTCCCCCGCCTCAGAAGGCTCTGCCCACATCAGGCAAAGCAGCCCCTGGCCGACCTGTTTACCCGTCTCGCATCCATCCTCCCCCTCCCCTCCGGCTCCACTGAGGCTGCCTCCCAGCCCTCTCTCCTGTCTCCACTATGCTTTGCAGCTGAAGAATCCTTCACTAAACTGCCTTCATTCCACCAACTCCACCAGAAGGGACAGATTTAGAACACAATTAGCTAAACCAGTGGGAGGGGACAGGGAAATATTGCAACCAATTAAAATAACAGGACCATTAAGCCAAGAGCTCCTGGGGGCAGAGAGAGGGTAAGGCCAGGAGAGGCAGCAGCCCCCCAAGTACACTCCCTGGGGAAATCAGCCAGCTAGATGGGAACCGGCTGGCTGGTGACTTCCTTCCTGCACTCAGTGTCATTAAAACCGGCCAGCCGCCCTCTTCCCTTTTGTCCTCACTTTCTTTGATTTATTCAATCAATTTAATGTTCTCTGAGGACCTAGGTTGGCTCCAGAGAGATTAAGATAAACCAATTAGCAGCCTCTTTTTAAGTGGTTCGTAATCTGTCAGGGGAAATAAATGTATAAGCAAATAACTGTAGCACACTTCAACATATGCTTTAACAGAGTTAAGTTTAAGAATCATAAAAATAGAGGCAAAGAGGCAATACATTCTGCCTGGACTAGGAGATGAGGGGATCAGTGAAAGTGATGGCAAAAAGAGGAGACATTTGACTTGGGGTTTTGGAGGATGAGTAGGAGTTTGCCAGGTCTGGAAATCCACATCCAGTGGGCTGCACCCTGGGACAAGTCCTAATTTTCTCAGAGCAGGTTACTGCAGAAACCTCTTTTTTTTTTTTTTAAGACAGAGCCTTGCTCTGTAGCCAGGCGCCAGGCTGGAGTGCAGTGGCTCAATCTCAGCTCTCTGCAACCTCCACCTCCTGGATTCAAGCTATTGTCCTGCCTCAGTCTCCCAAGTAGCTGAGATTACGGTGCGCACCACCATGTCCGGCTAAATTTTGTATTTTTAGTAGAGATGGGGGTTTCACCATGTTGGTCAGGCTGGTCTCGAACTCCTGACCTCGTGATCTGCTTGCCTCAGCCTCCCAAAGTGTTGGGATTACAGGTGTGAACCACTGTGCCTGGCCTGACTGCTTCCCTTCTAAGTGAACTAATTACCCAAGCCTCTCAACTCCGTAGCTTTTCCTCTTCCACAGCTTCGAGCACCACCATTTCCTCCCCACCTCTATTTCCCTCTCCATTTCCTTTCTTTCCAGAAATCTCTCTCTCCAGAAATCCCTGTGCTTGCTCTACCCCAAGCTGAGAAGTCTCATGCAATCTTGAAAGGGGCCCTGCGGGAGTCTGGTCCCCACTGAGCTGTGTGACCTCAGGCTGCATGCTCTCCCTCTCTGGGCCTCAGTTTTCTCATCTGGACTGCATGAGCCCCAGGAGCCTTCCCACTTTCCCAGCCTTCTAGGATTCAATGAAGCCAATCCTTATTTATTCAAAAATCACATCTGCCCCTAATACATCCCAGAGTCTGGAGAATCAGAAAAAAGAATACGCCAAGCACCCAAAAGAGATGCCACGAATTTGACAGGCCAAATAAAAACCGTACGCTTTACTCACAAGCAAGTCCCTGAGGACTCCGCTCAGAGTCTAGTTGCTCTTAATTTAATAGATGCAATCCTAACAAGGGTGCTTCTCTAGCTTTCTGGCCCGGAGCCTTCAAAGAGCCACCCTCGAGATGCTGCTGGAGGCGGATGTGCTGACAATTAAGAGTGACAGCTGGGAGCCTCCTGACAAGGTGGAAGAGCACAGCGTGGCCAGGCACGAGAAGTGGGCACAGCTCTGCACACCTCTGCATCGGGAAGAGCAGGCCCACACGCCCGGGAGGCAGAGAACTGACCCCGGATTGTCAAGAAGAGGTGAAATTGTTTTCAGGAAGCTGCGTTTCATAGGGTAGGTCGGTGTGTGTGTACATTTTAGTTTCATTAAAAACAGCTGAAGCCCTGGGCGCAGTGGTAATCCCAGCACTTTGGGAGGCCTACGAGGGCAGATCACTTGAGCTCAGGAATTCGAGGCCAGCCCAGGCAACATGGTGAAACCCCGTCTCTACAAAAAAAATGTAAAAATTAGCCAGGTGCGGTGGTGGATGGCTGTAATGCCAGCTACTCAGGAGGCTGAGGCAGGAGGATCACTTGAGCCCAGGAGGTCGAGGCTGCAGTGAGCTGAGGGGATCACACCACTGCACTCCAACCTGGGCAACAGAGCGAGAGCTCATCTCAGATAAACAGCTGAAGCCCAGCTTCACTCACATTCCTTGCCTGAAGCCCTGGGAGCCAGGCCGGCTCCTGCATTTCCAGAACCTTCCAGTTCTTTCTGCATCCCTCTTACTGCATCTGTTCCCTCTGCCTGCCTGTTCCTTTTCACCCAGGGAAGTTCTCCAGCCAAATCTGGAATGCCTGTCTTTCTGGAAGGCTGCAGACCCCCCTGCGTTCTGGAACTGTGTGCTCAACTGCCCTCCTGAAGGGTAAAGACTACACCCACTGGAGTTGGGGAGGTCACCCCACCCCAGACACCCGCTCCATGCTTCTTGCTCCCCAAATAGCACCAGAGGCTTCCTTCCTGGTTCACACGCTTGCAGAGAGGGAGAAGGCGATGCTTGGTGGGTCACACCAACCCCACTGGCCAGAAAAGGAAAGAGAGGGAGATGCAAGACCCTGGCCACCTGCTGTGTCACCTCTGAGAATCACGAGGAGGACCCCTTGACCCCGACCCCACCCCTGCCCTGTGGAGCACTCACGGAACATGGTCATGAACTGCTTGGGGTTGAGGTTCCAGTAGCCCCAGTTGGTCCGGTAGCCGTGCAGCGTGGCGTACTCCTCATGGTTGTAAGCAGGTTCTGTCCCGAAGGTATCGATGACCCTGATTCGGCACCTGCCCCACCCCAGGGACCGAGAACCAGGGTCAGCAACCTCCCTGCATGTCCCTGGGTTGGAGCTGCCCCAGCCACGAGCGCTGCCACCAGCCAGTGGCTGGGTCAGAGTAGTGCAGTGTGTATTAGCACTTGGGCTCAGACACTGCCTCGCTGTGTGACCGACCACAGGCAAGTGTCTTCTCCTCTCTGTGCTGCCCCATTTGTCAAGTGGGAAAAACAATAGCCCAGTTGTCTCAGGGTTATAGGGAAGCTCCTGGCCCATGGTCTGCAGTTAGTACTCAGGAACTATAGCCATTACTGCCACCCAGAAGGGAGGGACTGCTTGGAGAGGGGGGGTCCCTCTCTGCAGTCCCCAAGGTCATCTATACAATTTGCCCCTGCTTGGGCAGGGAGTCCATAGCCCTTCTCCTCGGGAGCCTGGCAGCCCTGGATGTGCCCAGCCTAGAGGGCCAGGATGCAACAGGCAGGGTCCCCCTACTGTCCACAAGGTGTCTTTGGGAGGGCGGCGCCCCTGAGCCTCCTCCGCAAGGCTGGTGCAGGGGTAGACTATGCAGCTGGGCAGAGGCTCTGCTCCACAGGGTCCTTCTCCCTCTGCTGCCTCCAGGAGTGGAGGCCCAAGTTGAAAACCAAGAGAGGCCTTGTCCCTGTGGATCAGCCAATCACAGGGCCAGAGGAACTCCAAGACCACTCTTAATGGACCACAGCCCCAGAGCCACCTGCTTCTGCCCACCCTACGCCCTGCAAGAGGGACCTGGAAAAAGGCACTGAGACTCAGAGGCACTGCAAGGAGCTTCTGGCCCCAGCATCCTTCCTGGTGATCCAGAAGTGCCTGCAGAGTGCTGAGGTCCGCACTGTTCCCCCAGGGGAAGGGCCTGGGGTGGGAGAGAGAGCGCCGAGTGCATAGAGAACTCACATTAATAATAAAAGCAATAACACTGCCTGTCACTTTTTTCCCTAATAAAATAATGTGGGATCGTCAGTGGGACTGGAGCACACATAATAAATAGCAGGGCTCTCTGTGCCAAATTAAGCCCCACATCCCACTGGCTGCAGCGAGACAGAGAGCAATGGCCTTGGCCTTCCTCCACACGGAGATGGGGTGGGATGGAGGAGGGGAGGGGAGTCCTGAGCAACCCTCCCCACCGCACGGTCCCCACAGCAGGGTCACAGCCCTGGTTACTGTCCCGTTCCCTTATACCCCTCTCTCCAATTCCTCGGCCCCACTCCATGTGGATTACCCTGTACCCCTGCCCCCCGCCTCCATGCAACAGAGGGGCAATGGAGCCCTCCCTGGGCTGGGAGGCAGACATGGAAGTGGCAGGGGAGGGGAAGGGCAGAGGGCAGAATGCAGGATAGTATGTTCTCCCACTTGGGCCCATCTGGCAGAGTGGGGACGTGGGGGCAGGCATGAAGGAGGAGCTTTCTCCCTGGCATGCAGACCATGACCACCCTCCGGCCGCGCTCTCACCGGTACTTCTTGAAGGAGAGTCCCATGTGCTGCTTCATCTGCTGCAGGCCATGGTAGTCGGTGTAGATGAGGTCAAAGGGCAGGGGTATAGTGAGCGGGCAGCTCCCCCGGCCTGGCGGCACCCCTAAGTTACTGAGAGAAGAGCCCTTCAGAGTCTGGGCTCCAAGAAACCCACCTGCCCAACCAGCTGCCCAGTTCCTTATAGCCCAGGATGAACTGTAAAAGTACAGAGAGCTTAGCACAGACTCTCAGAAAGGACGTGAACAGGATGGCCCTGGACAGTGGTGTAGGTTTCTCACTGCACAAGGCAATCCAGCAAGGGGCAGGTGGGACTGAGGTCAGTGTAGGCTCCCATGAACCCAGACTGGGCTACCTGCCAGGAGGAAGGGGCAGCTTTTGTCATGTAGCCACAGATGTGCTCCCACAGGGCTGTGGCTGCCCAGAGAAGGAGCTTTTCTCTAACTTTCACAAATGCCGTGGATGCTGCTGCAGTCCTCAGTGCGACTCCATGTTTGCCTGGACCTAAGGGCCCCACACCTCCTGCCTCAGAAGAGCGCAGTCTTACAGTGCTGACTGAGCTCCTGCCTCAGAAGAGCGCAGTCTTACAGTACTGACTGAGCTCCTGCCTCAGAAGAGCGCAGTCTTACAGTGCTGACAGCTCCTGGCGCCCTGGGCTGGCTGAGGCCACGAGCTCCTCCAAGCCACGGATCGCCTGTTCCCCACTCCGGGGACCGCACAGGCTCGGAGTCTTGGACTGGACCAGGGTACCTGCCTGCCCCTGCCTGCCAGGTCCCTTACACATAGGTTCTCATCTGAGACAAGGTTGCCTCTGGTAACTGGAAGCAGCAGCTCAGCCAGAGGAGGGGTGGTGCCCTTCTGCCATCTGGCATCCTGTCTGGCTGGAGCTGCTGGGTCATCTCCCCCTGCTGGACCTCGCCAGGCCCCCGGTTCCAGGGGCATGGACAGGACGACATGGAAGGGCATGACCACACCCCATGGCTTCCTCTAGAATCCCCACATCTGCTCAGCCCGCCTCCCTGGAGAAGGGCTCGAAGCCCCCGTCCCAGCAACCACAGCTGCCAATTTAAACTCCTCTCCCCACAAACCCCCTGCCAGCGTCCATACAAGCCAGTTCCTCCCACCAGGAGCCCCTGTTTATTTCAACTCCACAACCTCGGTTTCTCCCCTGCAGGGGATGACAAGGCATTTGCTCTCTTGTTCGTTCAGTTAGGTCTGTGCTGAGCCCCTGAGTCAGGGGGGACATGCTGTCCTCTGCAGAGATGGCCCCTCCACATTCCCTTCCCCACTCCACCAGAGGATGACACCCGGGGGCTCAGTATGCTTGCAGAATCCGGCCAGGTGCCAGCTCCCCAAACACCCCCTCCCCACTGTGTCCTCAGGATAATTCTCTTTAACAAATGTTTCTTGAGTGTATGGTGCCAGGCCCTATGCCCACATCAGAGACAATGTGGGACATGGCCCCAGCCCCAGGAGCATGAGCCATGGGAGGCGTGTGCACCTGGGGGTGCTGGAGCAGAGATCTAAACAGCATGTGCTGAGGCCCAGGGGAGGCGTCCTGAGGAGGGGCCCATTGGTGGAGGGGCAGGCAGAGGGGGTTGCCCAAGCAGAGAAGGCCACGTGCCCCATCTTCCTCTTCCTCTCTCAACAGCTCTTGGTGGGCACGACACCTCATGGGACTTGATGTGACCATCCTTTGCTCCCGACCCAGATGGTGAAGCAGCCAGGCTGTGGGGCCCCATCTCCTGGGGATACCCACCTCCCCAGGATTTGGGGTTCAGCTGCCAGCTCTGAAAGAGGCCCAAGACACCTCCTACTAGGGAGCACCTTCGGGGACCCACGTGATAAGCAGAGACAGGCCGAGGAGGTGATGAGCTCTGACAAGGTCACCTGCTCATTAACGGCAAGGGGCCAGGATTGATCAGTTTCCTAGGCTGTGTCTGGGCTCCTTGAAACCATTCAGGCCAGGTGGAAAAGTACCGGCCCAAAAGGCTCATGCTCACTTCGTGCCTGCTCAGAAGCTCAGGGAGGGGACTGTGCACCCCACCCCGTTAGCACACCGTCCAAAGTGGTGTCCTGTCAGTGGTGTTTCTGGTCACCTGCCGGCAGCGCTGTGATGGAAAGAGGTGGGGGAAAAGCAGCCGGCACAGGGACTAAGCCATCAGTGGCCGGCCTTGCCCTGCAGAGAAGGGCGGCAAGAGGGGAGGGGCTTTCTCTGGGCCTTGCCCCCACTCCAGTTGCTGCCCCCACCAGCCTCCTGAGCTGTTCCCCTACTAGCTTCCCTGCCATGACAGAACCTTTGCTGCTAAGTGTGAGGGGGCGTTCAAAAACCTAATAACGGTTTCCTCCCCATTTCTTGTTTACAAACTTAAAAATGGCCAATGGCTCCTCCCCCATCCCTCTAACCTTCCTTTCCAACCCAGACAGCACACCACACAGGACTCTCTGATCCAGGGCTTCTAAAGCAGAGCCTGCCTCTTCAGCTTTTTTGTGGAAATACCCAAAAAGCAAAGGAGAAGCACAGACCCCAGGAGAGTGGAGCCTTCCCAGGGAGCAGCTCCCACAACCTGGAGACTTCATGAAATATTTGGTGGTACATTTAAGTGTCCAACAAATTCTGCATTCTACCCCGTTGTTTTCTTTGAAGCATGGACTTTCTCACTCCCAAAATGCCTCCAGTAAAACTGATGCCCCAGAAAGAAGCTTCGCTTTTTTGCCCTGGGGCTCCAGAAGTCCTCTCTTCCTCACCTCCCCGACCCAATTGAGAACCACACACAAAAGGACACAAAGATGCTCCCTCTATCCCCTTCCTTGCAGAAACCAGGATGGGGGTGGCTGCTCCTCCCACATGGAATCTGGGTCTAATAAAATCAAGACAATCCTGAGAATACAAACCATAGGTGGGTCTAGAAGCCACTACCTGCGCTAGGAAGCTGGCTGCCTTCCCTATGGACCTCGGGTTGTCTCTAGGCAGCATCTTCTCTCTCTGTCCCGGGAGCTTCCTTTTGTCACCCCATCACTGACCACAACCTGACCCTAGCCCCAGACACCAGGGCCACTGAGAGGAACGGAGGGGTTATAGCACATCACAGCCCTCTCCTGGGAGACCTCCACGCTGCTGTTCTAAGGTGAATCCATCATCCTCACCATCTTCAAGGCTACCATTTTGGACACAGGTATCATTTTATGTGCTTTCAACTTATTAATTCATCAACTCCTTTCATCTTGGCAACTACCCTACCAGATCAGACCCATTCTCATCCTGTTCCCATCTTTATAGATTAGGAAACAGAGAGGCTGAGTAACTTATCCAAGGTCACACAGCCAGGAAGGAGCAGAGCTGGGATCAGAGTCTTTCTACAGTGAAAACTTGGTCACGTCTCCCCGGGGTCTTTCCGAGGCTTCCCACTGCCAGGACTTCGAGGGCGCTTCCCCACCTAACCCCTGTGGGAGCAACTGCTGCAGCCCCTGTGCCACAACCCGTGCCCCTCAGGGTCTGCAGCAGCCTCTCCAGCACAGGCTCACTGGGTGTGCATGGAGGGAGCGGGGGAGTGGGCAGAAGGTGGACCCCCGCTGAGTCCCGCCTTGTGCAGGGACCACATGGGCAGTTAGGCCTCACCCCATGAAGCACCAACCCTAAACTTTGGCACCCAGATCCAGAGCTGGGCAGGAGCAGGGCACCTTTCTGGGCAGTGGCATCCCCTGTACACACCCCTGCTCAATGAAGTCAAAGTCTTGACTAAACCAGAACAAAAGGAGGAATGCAGAGGGGTGGGGGAGAAGGAATCTACAGCAAGACAGTGGCTGGCGCCTGCACGCCGCTAAGTGAGACCAGACACTTCCTGTACCCGCCACACGTGAGGCCAAAGTGGTCCCGGCCAAACCCTCCCCTCTGATCTGACCCAGGTTCTCTTGCGACGGTGCCCTGCCTTCACAGAAACTGTTTCCTGGGCCTAGAAGACTCTTCTCACCTCCACACGCTTAACTCAAACATCACCTCCTCCAGGAAGCCTTGCCTGAGACACCCCTCCCGCTATGTTCCCTCCACACCTGGGACATACCCAGTGAATGTCCCAAGTCACCTCTTCCCACCTGGAGGCCCCTTTGAGGGCAGGGTCAGGTCTTCTTTAAAATTCAGGACCAGAGCTGGACATGGTGGTTCATGCCTGTCATCCCAGAACTTTGGGAGACCGAGGCGGGTGGATCACGATGTCAGGAGTTCAAGACCAGCCTGGCCAAGATGGTGAAAACATCTCTACTAAAAATACAAAAATTAGCCAGGTGTGGTGGTGCGTGCCTGTAATCCCAGTTACTCAGGAGGCTAAGGCAGGAGAATCGCTTGAACCCAGGAGGTGGAGGTTGCAGTGAGCCAAGATCACACCACTGCACTCCAGTCCTGGCAAGAAAGTGAGACTCTATCTAAAAAAAAAAAAAAAAAAAATCAGGACCAGGGACAGGACCTGACCCAATTAAGGTGTGCTGTGCTCATGAAGGAATACATAAAGTGGTAAATGAGATGAGCCCCTCAGGAGGAATTGGTTTAAATGTTTAACAGCTAGCCAAGAAAAGCCTCTCTGGAGAGAGATGGTGGGTGAGTGAGGGACTCAAGGGTGAAGGTGCCTTGGTGACTGGCCTACAGGTCTGGACCTGAACCCAGTGGCCCTCCACACGGCTCAAAGGACATCACAGTGGGAAGGAGAGGAGGGAGACAAATTGGCTCAGCAGTAGTAGCATCCCTTACCAGGAGGAGTTAAGGAGAAGCCCACCTGTCCCCAGCCCTGGAAAACAAGGATTTTCCACTGAAGGGTGGGACGTCCCTGGAGGTGTCTGCAGCAGCCTCCTCACTGTTGTCAGAAGAAACCTGGGCTTTGCCCCATGGAGAGCAGAGAGGTCAGCTGCGGGGAGAGGAGGCTGTAGTTTTATCACTTGTAATTTAAGTTTACTTTTATGGGCAATTTTACGCTAAGTGATTGGCTGGAGCAGTGACATGAATTGAAAACGCTGTCCCCTGACAACCTTCAACTAAATGTGCCCGGGAGGCTGGGCTGTACATTTCCACCTCTCCTACTGAGTCCACAAAACACTCCTTCCTGTCCAGATGCTTCTGTACCTCT